GTTCATGCCTTAGATAGCCGCCCGTTGGGATCAGGGTTGATTAGGGAAGTCACAGCGCCACTTAGGATGTGTGCGCAGGGGGGTCATGAAGAGACTATACAGCTGTATCTGATCGACTCTCCTGCGTACCCAGTGGTGCTGGGAATTCCCTGGTTAAGCACCCATAACCCTGCTATTTCGTGGCAACAGAGGGCTCTCGAAGGGTGGTCTGCTCAGTGTGAGGGGCGATGTCTGGGTGTTTCCGTGGGGGCGACTTCGGTGGAAAGTCCAAACCAAGTGCCCGCACTGCACATTCCGCCTGAATATGGGGATTTAGCTCTTGTGTTTAGCAAAACTAGGGCGACGCAGTTGCCTCCCCATAGACAGCGGGATTGTGCGATTGATCTCCAGGCAGGAGCAGCGCTCCCACGGAGCCATGTGTATCCTTTGTCTCAAGAGGAGAGAAAAGCTATGGAGACTTACATAGCCGAATCTTTGAGACAGGGATACATTCGGCCTTCCACTTCCCCCGCCTCTTCGAGTTTCTTTTTTGTGAAAAAGAAAGATGGAGGGTTGCGCCCGTGCATTGATTACCATGGTCTCAATCAGATTACTGTGAAATACAGTTATCCACTCCCTCTGATTGCGACCATGATGGAGTCATTGCATGGGGCGCGGTTTTTCACAAAATTGGATCTCAGGAGCGCGTATAACTTGGTGCGCATTAGGGAGGGCGATGAATGGAAAACAGCGTTTAGTACCACGTCAGGTCATTTCGAGTATCTTGTCATGCCATATGGGTTGATGAATGCTCCATCAGTCTTCCAATCCTTCGTAGATGACATTTTCCGGGATATGCAGGGACAAGGGGTGGTCGTGTACATTGATGATATTCTGGTGTACTCGTCTACCCGAGCCGAGCATGTAACCCTGGTGCGACGTGTATTGAGGAGGCTGTTGGAGCACGACCTATATGTCAAGGCAGAGAAATGTCTGTTTTTCCAGGAGTCGGTCTCCTTTTTGGGTTATCGGTTGTCCGCGTCAGGGGTGAGAATGGAGGTGGATCGTGTGTCCGCTGTGCGTAATTGGCAAACTCCAACCACTGTAAAAGAGGTGCAGCAGTTCTTGGGCTTTGCAAATTACTACCGGAGGTTTATCCGGGGTTTTGGACAGGTGGCAGCTCCCATCACGTCCCTTCTGAAGGGGGGTCCGGTGCGCCTGCAGTGGTCAGCTGATGCGGACAGGGCCTTTGGGAGACTGAAGGACCTGTTTACGTCGGCTCCGGTGCTGGCGCATCCGGATCCCACAATTCCCTTTCAGGTTGAGGTGGACGCGTCTGAGGCTGGTATAGGGGCCGTTCTCTCTCAACGGTCCGGCTCGCCACCTAAACTCCGCCCCTGTGCTTTTTACTCCAAAAAGCTCAGCCCGGCGGAGCGTAACTATGACGTTGGGGACAGGGAGTTGTTAGCTGTAGTTCAAGCCCTTAAGGTGTGGAGGCATTGGCTTGAGGGGGCTCAACACCCTTTCCTCATTTTGACTGACCATCGGAACCTGGAGTACATCCGGGCAGCGAGGAGACTGAACCCTCGCCAGGCTCGATGGAGTATGTTTCTCACCAGGTTCGTATTTAAAATCACGTACATCCCTGGGTCCCAGAATGGTAAGGCAGATGCACTGTCCCGGCGGTATGACACGGAGGAGAGGTCCGTTGAGCCTACTCCCATACTACCGGAGTCTTGCCTTGTGGCACCGGTGGTGTGGGAGGTCGATGCCGAGATCGAGCGAGCGTTGCGTACCGACCCCAGCCCTCCACAATGTCCTGAGGGTCGGAGGTACGTTCCGCTCGAGATTCGGGATCGACTCATCTACTGGGCTCACACGTCACCCTCCTCTGGACATCCGGGTATTGGCCGGACAGTGCATTGCCTTAGCACTAAATACTGGTGGCCTACTTTGGCTAGGGATGTGAGGGTTTACGTCTCCTCCTGCTCGGTGTGCGCCCAGTGTAAGGCGCCCCGACATCTGCCCAGGGGTAAGTTACAGCCCCTACCCGTTCCACAGCGACCATGGTCCCACCTCTCGGTGGATTTTGTAACAGACCTTCCCCTCTCTCAGGGGAATACCACCATCCTGGTCGTTGTGGACCGGTTCTCTAAGGCCTGTCGTCTTCTCCCTATGTCGGGTCTTCCTACTGCCCTACAGACCGCTGAGGCCCTATTTACCCACGTCTTCCGGCATTACGGGGTCCCCGAGGATATAGTGTCTGATCGAGGCCCCCAGTTTACCTCCCGTGTGTGGAGAGCGTTTATGGAGCGTTTGGGGGTCTCGGTTAGCCTTACCTCGGGGTACCACCCGGAGAGTAACGGGCAGGTAGAACGTGTCAACCAGGATGTGGGTAGGTTTCTGAGGTCGTATTGCCAGGACCGGCCTGAGGAGTGGGCGCGTTACATTCCATGGGCCGAGATGGCCCAGAACTCTCTCCGCCACTCCTCTACCAACCTAACCCCTTTCCAATGTGTATTAGGTTACCAGCCGGTTCTGGCACCGTGGCAGCAGAGCCAGATCGAGGCCCCTGCGGTGGATGATTGGATGAGGCGCTCGGAAGAGACGTGGAACGCTGCCCACGTCCACCTGCAGCGGGCCGTCCTTCGTCACAAGGCGAGCGCCGATCTCCACCGCAGTGAGGGGCCGGTGTACGCACCCGGAGATCGAGTCTGGCTCTCTACCAGAAACCTACCCCTCCGCCTGCCCTGCCGGAAGCTGGGTCGGCGGTTTGTGGGGCCCTTTAAAGTCCTGAGAAGATTGAACGAGGTGTGTTATAGGTTACATCTACCTGTTGAATATAAGAATATTAACCCCTCGTTCCATGTGTCTCTTCTCAGGCCGGTGGTAGCTGGTCCACTCCAGGACAATGAGATAGGAGAGACTCCTCCGCCCCCATTGGACATCGAGGGGGCTCCGGCGTACACCGTTCGGTCCATCTTGGACTCCAGACGCCGGATGGGGGGTCTCCAGTATCTCGTGGAGTGGGAGGGGTACGGCCCGGAGGAGCGGTGCTGGGTGCCGTGGAGGGACATCCTAGACCCATCTCTCCTGTCGGAGTTCCACCGGGACCATCCCGCGCGCCCTGCTCCGCGTCCTCCTGGTCATCCCCGAGGCCGGGGTCGGCGCACGGCTAGAGCCGCGCGTCAAGGGGGGGGTACTGTCACGGTTTCGGCCGAGGCTGCTCCTCCTCCTGGTTCGGGCAGGCTTCGGCGGTCGTCGTCCCCGGAGTACTAGCTGCCACCGATCTATGTTTCATGTTCGTTTGGTTTGGTCTTGATGTTGCACACCTGTGTCTAGTTAGTCCTCGTTAGTGTTCTATTTAGTTCTCGTTGTGTGTGTCTGTGTTTGTGTGTGATTGCGCTTCTGTTTCGTGTTGGAACTACATTTTCCCTCCAGTGTTTTGGAGAGGTTATTTTGCACATGTTTGTGCGCCGTTTGTTTTGTCGCCTGTGTGCGCCGTGTATTCGCCTTCGGGCTTATTGTACTTTTGTCTTTTATGAATATTGCACTAAAGCCTTTGGACTGAGCCTCTGCGTCCTGCGCATGATTCATACACCACACCCACCTTCAGCACCCGTTGACAAAGAATCTCAAATATAACAAATATTTTGATTTGTTTAACACTTTTTTGGTTACTACATGATTCCATATGTGTTATTTCATAGTTTTGATGTCTTCACTATTATTCTACAATGTAGAAAATAGTAAAAATAAAGAAAAACCCTTGAATGAGTAGGTGTTCTAAAACTTTTGACCAGTAGTGTAGATATGACAAAACTCCAAATTGTAGTCACAATTCACACCTATCAAGCCTGACTCATCATGACTGGAAAATAGCTTACCTTCTGTGTAAGGGGGAAGTCCCAGAAAATACATTGTGGTTGTACCCAAATCAGCCCCTAACTCAAATACATGTAGCCCAAGGTCACTGCAAGAGGGGCACATTTCAAGCCAAGGTCCTTAGATGTCTTTCTTCTCTCTGTAAGTCATACGATATTATGTTTTATTACAATATGCATTATTATTCCATTCCATTATGATATGTATGAAAATGTATGTATTCACTAACTGTAAGTCGCTCTGGATAAGAACGACTGCTAAATGACTAAAATGTAAAATGTAAATAATATGTATTTTTAGTTACATGTGAGCTGGTTAATGAGTAGGCTGTCCATGGTTTATAACCTTTTAAAAGATGGATGGATGTTGTCTTTGATTATTAATAGACCACCTGGGAATGGTACTGAAGGAGAACTAAACAATATTTACTAATCGGATATCCAGAATTAAAGATCAACATCATGCCTTGAATACATTACTTACTGGTGAATGCAATGAGCCATTGCTTATGCTATAGAGTGTTACAGGAATCAGTGATCAGTAAAGGCATTAAATGGTATTGTTGGAGAATGATTTAGGCAAATTCACAGATAAGAACAAATGTATAAGTCCATTTTATTGAAGTTGAAGACCAAGGCGAGGCGTAGCTTCATTTGTCGAGTGTGTACTTTCTCCAGCTCAGTGATTTTGTGCCCATTAGAGCACAGCGCAGTATGCCTCTGTCAAGAAAAGGGCATTTCAGTCTTTGAAGTTGTGTATAGAGGCTTGCCCTCTCTTCTGATACCTTCTGGAGTTACTTGGACAGAATAATATACTGTACATGAGTAATTCATTATTTTTTTGAATCCAGTTAGTTTGAGCCTGCTTGTATGCCTGTAGACGAACGTACACCATCAAAAAAAAAAATCTTTAAAAAGACAAGAAAACTAGAACACACAATCTAAGGAAGTCCATCATAAAGTAATGTAAAATCTGGAAGCCTAACACCCCCAAATCAACTTGATTAGTGTCAGGTTTGAATCAATTCCAACCAAGTGATACAAGACTGATTACGCAAGGATTCCATGAACTGACCCTGATTTCCCCCTGCCTGTCATTCGGTGAGTCAGAGTGTGAGTTGACACCTGAGCTGAACCATGGGTTTAGGCTGTCCTGAGGGTCACTTCTGGGACGGCCTGGTCAGGAAGTGTCTGACCTGTCAGATGGTCTGCCAGCAGCCTCAACACCACCTCAGATGCATTGAGTACTGTGGTAAGTCCACACACACAAACGCTCGTCAGAGGAAATAACACATACACGTAAGAAGTCAATGAGAGGCCAATGCACCGCAAGATTGTCCATATGACTCAATCTACAAAGTTATACATAGAGATACATACATTTTATATTTCATTCTATGGTGTTATATCAGTAGTAAGATCAATGAATCTCAAGATCCTTTTTGTGGGGTTAAGTAATAAGTACAGTCTAGTGCAATTGTGGTTGATACATAATGGCCATTTTGTGTCAAAACACAGGAAGAATATACCAGGCATGTTATAATACGTATACCATCCCTGTGCCATTGTGTGTATGTTTGTGCCAGTGTCTCTAGGGTGTAAGGCCGTCCCAGGGCAGTACTACGACAGGCTGCTGAAGAAGTGTCTGAGGTGTGCTGTGGTGTGTGGCAGCCATCCCTCAGAGTGTTCCCACCAATGTCAGAGTGAGTGTGAACAGTATAATATATGTATCACAAAACATATAGAACACTCACCTAGCAAACCATTTTTCATCAGAATAGTAGGTGCTAATGTCCTCTTTTTGTCTCTCGTTCTCTCTCTCTCGTTCTCTGTAAAACACTCACACACACACAGCTCTCACAAACAGTCATAAGAGTTTGTACACTACTAAGTAATGAATTGAGCCGACAGCCATCTCCAAAATAGTTTCTGGCTGTTGAACCAATATTTAGACCAATTTGGTCCCGCTTTAAATGACGTGCAGCTTATAAAGGCTTCATAAATGCTACATACATTTGTTAGAAATCATCTATAACCGTATGTCATGTTTTATAAAGGGTTCATAAATATGGCATAACTGTGTGACATAATCACCAATGTCAAATGTGGAATAAACCACTGTGTCAAATATGACATAAACCTGTGCTTTATAAAGGGTGGTATAAGCACCGCTTACTAAAGGCCTTATAAATCATATTAAATTGAGGCTTCACAAAGCATTTATAACCCTGTCACGCATCTTGGTAGAGCATTGCAATGTCAGGATATCGGGTTCGATTCCCAGGACCACCCATACGTAAAAATGTATTCACGCATGACTGTAAGTCGCTTTGGATAAAAGCGTCTGCTAAATTGTATATATTATATTATGTTTCACTAAAACATTTCTAGGATGGCCCTACCTCTTTCCCCCTTGGGTGCATAGTCAATATTGGACCTGACCTCAACTTCCCCCAAAATGCTGTGCTGCAGGATGACACACACTCTAAAGTGCAGTCATGCACAGCAAAAAACGTTGGTAGGGCCTTTTAAAATCAGTTTTTATTTTTTGCCTATTTTTTCCAATTCTGTTTTCTTGGTTTTGTTTTTCCAGGTTCCAGATTTCCCCAATTGTTTCTGGTTTACCCCATTACATTTTTTTTTTATAATAATAGAACCAAACAACTTAAACCAAATCAGGGGAGGACTTTTGAGGTTTGGGAAAAATTAAAGAAACTTAGATTTCTGAGTGTAGTTGCCCTTTAATACAGTGAGCATGCCCTGCACTGTTGTTTTGTTAGCGGGTTTTCTGTAGTGCATTTTTTTTTTTTGTTGCAGTAAGCGCACATGTAAGGTGATTCGGCCGCCAATGGAATGGGTGGAGTAAAAGGCCAGCAACACTCCGTATTATTGAGAGCACCATGAAATGACACCGTATATACATTCTACAGACCCTACTGAATATTCCCTACAATACTTTTACTGCTGCACCCAGAATACTTCTTGCTCTAAGCCAATCTGTTTTCCATATACAGTGATTCACATTGGGGGCATTTATTTGACCTTGGAACAGGTTTTAAAACTCAAATTTAATGCAAAAGTCACTTAAATATGAACATATATGATTCATTGTTAATGTTTAGACAATCATTTTTCATATAGCATTCATGGTTATTGACACTTTTTACTATTACGTTGGGGACTTTTATTTAGAACATTTCTGAAATTCCGTGACCCGGAAGTACTTTTTAGTGTTGCTGATGAGACGCTGATCATGTGATGAGTTCGCAAATCAAATGCCCCACTTGTGCTGCCACTGGACAGTGAAAAACAAGTAAGTTAACCTTTATTTATTATAATTTCAATTAGTTTGTAGTAGTAAAGTGTTGAGTTAGATTACATACTGTAGCTACCTTAACCTCTAATGGATGGGTGTCCCGAAATCGGGACAGTTGTTACTCAATACGGATAATGTGACTACAATGATGTTGTAAACAAAAGCACATTTTCACAGACATTTATATGTCTTATATGGGCAGAAAGCTTCAATTATTGTTAATCTAACTGCAGTGTCCAATTTACAGTAGGTATTACAGCGAAAAAATACCATGCTATTGTTTGGACAACAAAACACTTTTATTAAGGCAACTGGTTTGATACATTCATCTCTGAAGGTAAATAATGTACTTACATTCAGTAATCTTGCTCTGATTTGTCATCCTGAAGGTCCCAGAGATAAAACATAGTGTTTTTTTTGTTTGATCAAATCCATTTTTATATCCTAACATGGTCCATGTTGTATACAGCGTTTCGCCTGAATTCCGACTAGTTGAACTTGCAACAAAACATTTAAACGTAATATAAACGCTACGCTTTGTTTCACCCAGTCAAGTTAGGTTTTTCTGCAATCCTCGGACACTCTAGAAGGTGACCGAACTTGTTTCATGATTCTGCATGACGCATTGGCTAAACAAAAGGTATATTAGCCCACCAAGGTTTGACATGATTACGCACCAATGAGACGGGCAGTGTTCACTTGATTGACTGTCTCTTGGTCCAATGACCACCTATAGTTTTGAAACATAGCTAGCTAGATAGCCAATGAGCTGGGCTTTACAGGAGTATGTGATGGTCCTTAGTGTGAGTAAAAGCCATTGTGCTGAGCTCGCGCGCAACAACCTACGTTGGGCAGATAAAATCGAGAGAACAAAGAGGGACTCGTATTACGCACGCACGCTCGATTAGATCTACCAAGTTTATTGCTAGTTTAGAAAGTAGAATATGGCTAATAAAACTGGAAAAGCTCAATCGAAGACCAAGTATACCAATTTGGACGAGATTATTGCAGAAATCGATGTGACATAGAAGTTGATGAGGACTCAGTTAGTGATTACACTGTAGAATCACACTTTCTTTTGGATGGGAAAGACGTAACTTTGGACTGGTAAGTAAAATACTTTCTTTCTTCTCATGCTAATGCATTGTTTAAATGCTATTTATTTGAGATATTTTTCTTTGATTGCTATATGTATAATCACTATAATGAAATATGTTTACCAATAGTAAATAGGGCACTCGAAAACCACAGGCACAGCATGTGATAGTCAACATAAAATACTAATTGGCTAGGGCTCATCCCCCTGCTAAAATAATTGATGCAGGCTCAGCCCCTGCTAAAATAAATGTTCAATAAAATAAGAAATAGTGAACTTGAGTTCTTACGGATTAAAAAAAAAAACTTCTATAGTGCTAGAGACTCAGTCAACATAAAATGCACAATGGCTATGCTAATACATTTTAGGTCTGTATAAATACATTGTAGGTCTGTGCCCTATTTACTATTGGTAAACATATTTCATTATAGTGATTGTGTTCCCCAAACTCTACATAATATATGTTTATAGATATGTGTTGTTTATTTGATGTATTGATGCAGGGCTCATCCGTAAAAGTATTGATGCAGGGCTCACACCCTGCTAAAATAAAGGTTCAATAAAATAAGTAATAGTAAACTTGAGTTCTTACTGATTTAAAAAAATATTCTATAGTGCTAGAGACTCTGACTCAGATGACCTCTGGGAGCCAACACCAAAGAGACCACATTCAAGTCCTCCAGTAGAAACTGGTTCATTCAGTCGGACCCTTGCTGCTGTCTCTGGCTCCACACCCACCCTGCCTGGCCATCTAGATGTGTGAAGGTTAGTGTCTTATGTAGGGATGCTAATGATCCATCATGTATGACATTCCTGGGAGTGTGTAAACTAGATTTTTTTGTTACCATAGAATTTTTGTATGTTCTCTATAGTTATGTACTTGAAAATGTATCAATTTACCAATTCGGCCACTTGGAGGCGACTTGGGTACATTTGGGCAAACTCGTGAGGGACACCTGGGTGACTTCATACTAAATGTTATGTAGCTCGCTAATTCTTGAAGGTATCAGTCTGAAACTTTGCACATACACTGTTGACCTCTTGTGGACAACATCTAAATTACCTGCAGCTTCCTATCCAAATCTATGGCAATTTTATTTTTCATGTCAAATTTGTTTTATCTTTTACCAGATCTATTATGTTATGTTCTCCTACATTAATTTCACATTTCCACAAAATTCAAAGTATTTCCTTTCAAATAGTATCAAGAATATGCATATCCTTGCTTTTTGTCCCGAGCTACAGGCAGTTAGATTTTGGTATGTCATTTTAGGTGGAAATTGAAAAGAAGAGTGTGATCCTTAAGAGGTTAATCGTTATTTGAAATTATTTCAGTGACATCACAGCGATTGCTAGCTAACCGAAATGTAGCTAGCTAGCAGGCTCAGCTAAATACAAATCCCTCTAGATACAGCCATGTCTCATAGTCACATCATGAGATTTGTAAATGAAAGAGGAATATAATCATACGAATTGAATCGAGTTTCCCATCTTCCCATTTAGAGTTTCTGGCGCAGCACAGAAATACCCTTATCCAGATGGTGTGACAAAGACATTTCCAAACAGACCTGCTAACTAAACCTCTAACGTATATCCACCAAATCTATACAAACTGGTATTGTTCCTAAAGATTTGAAAATTGCCAAAGTTATCCCCCTCTATAAATCTGGGGATCCAAGATCTTTTACAAATTATTGCCCAATATCTGTACTACCATGTTTTTCTAAAATCCTAGAAATATTGGTGTATAAGAGAAAGTTGAAACATTTAAATCAACACTCTCTGTATTCTATATGAGCAACAATATGGGTTTTGTAAAAACTACTCCGCAGATATGGCTCTTTTGCAACTTGTGGATAAAATATTTACAGCCCTTAACAACAATGAATACGCTCTTGGCAGCTTTTTAGATTTATCCAAAGCGTTTGACACGGTTGATCATGAAATATTACTTTCTAAATTGCATTATTACAGATTTCATGATTATACATATAATTGGTTATATAGTTACAGTGGGGGAAAAAAGTATTTAGTCAGCCACCAATTGTGCAAGTTCTCCCACTTAAGAAGATGAGAGAGGCCTGTAATTTTCATCATAGGTACACGTCAACTATGACAGACAAAATTATTTTAAAAAATCCAGAAAATCACATTGTAGGATTTTTAATGAATTTATTTGCAAATTATGGTGGAAAATAAGTATTTGGTCAATAACAAAAGTTTCTCAATACTTTGTTATATACCCTTTGTTGGCAATGACACAGGTCAAACGTTTTCTGTAAGTCTTCACAAGGTTTTCACACACTGTTGCTGGTATTTTGGCCCATTCCTCCATGCAGATCTCCTCTAGAGCAGTGATGTTTTGGGGCTGTCACTGGGCAACACGGACTTTCAACTCCCTCCAAAGATGTTCTATGGGGTTGAGATCTGGAGACTGGCTAGGCCACTCCAGGACCTTGAAATGCTTCTTACGAAGCCACTCCTTCGTTGCCCGGGCGGTGTGTTTGGGATCATTGTCATGCTGAAAGACCCAGCCACGTTTCATCTTCAATGCCCTTGCTGATGGAAGGAGGTTTTCACTCAAAATCTCACGATACATGGCCCCATTCATTCTTTCCTTTACACGGATCAGTCGTCCTGGTCCCTTTGCAGAAAAACAGCCCCAAAGCATGATGTTTCCACCCCCATGCTTCACAGTAGGTATGGTGTTCTTTGGATGCAACTCAGCATTCTTTGTCCTCCAAACACGACGAGTTGAGTTTTTACCAAAAAGTTCTATTTTGGTTTCATCTGACCATATGACATTCTCCCAATCCTCTTCTGGATCATCCAAATGCACTCTAGCAAACTTCAGACGGGCGTGGACATGTACTGGCTTAAGCAGGGGGACACGTCTGGCACTGCAGGATTTGAGTCCCTGGCGGCGTAGTGTGTTACTGATGGTAGGCTTTGTTACTTTGGTCCCAGCTCTCTGCAGGTCATTCACTAGGTCCCCCCGTGTGGTTCTGGGATTTTTGCTCACCGTTCTTGTGATCATTTTGACCCCACAGGGTGAGATCTTGCGTGGAGCCCCAGATCGAGGGAGATTATCAGTGGTCTTGTATGTCTTCCATTTCCTAATAATTGCTCCCACAGTTGATTTCTTCAAACCAAGCTGCTTACCTATTGCAGATTCAGTCTTCCCAGCCTGGTGCAGGTCTACAATTTTGTTTCTGGTGTCCTTTGACAGCTCTTTGGTCTTGGCCATAGTGGAGTTTGGAGTGTGACTGTTTGAGGTTGTGGACAGGTGTCTTTTATACTGATAACAAGTTCAAACAGGTGCCATTAATACAGGTAACGAGTGGAGGACAGAGGAGCCTCTTAAAGAAGAAGTTACAGGTCTGTGAGAGCCAGAAGTCTTGCTTGTTTGTAGGTGACCAAATACTTATTTTCCACCATAATTTGCAAATAAATTCATAAAAAATCCTACAATGTGATTTTCTGGAGAAAAAAAATCTCAATTTGTCTGTCATAGTTGACGTGTACCTATGATGAAAATTACAGGCCTCTCTCATCTTTTTAAGTGGGAGAACTTGCACAATTGGTGGCTGACTAAATACTTTTTTTCCCCACTGTATCTATATAACCGGCTGTGCATCTACCAGGGCCAAGATATCCTATGATCTCCCACAGGGTTCGATAATTGGACCTTTGTTATTCCTAATCTATATCAATGACTTTGATGCTGTGTCTTCTACTGTACTTCCTCAGAGTTCTAATTGATGTAAAATTATCCTGGAAAGATCATCTTCAATTTGTCTGCAGCAAAGTTATGAAATATGTTGGTATCATCAGAAATATTAGTGGTTTGGTTAATCAGGCTTGCTTCCTAACTCTTTACTGTAGCTTAATCTCATTTACTGTAATATTGTCTGGGCCAGTATATATACCTCCTACCTACACAAATTACTCATCATACAAAATACATTTGCAAGACTAGACACCTCCTCTAATTACCTGGCTCCATCTGACCCTTTTGTTTAAGAAACTCAATATCTTGTCTATTTACAACATTAATGTACGCCAATTATGCATTTTCATATACAAATACTCATACCTCCCAGACAGTTTCCCTTAACCCTTGAATGGATTCTTCCAGGTTAATTCTGAAATCCATCTATATAACACAAGACACTGTGATAACCTTCACCCTTCCCACATAGTCAATTCTCACATGTTAGTATTGTGGTGCTCACATAGTCAATTCTCTATCAGATATAGAAGTACCATACTCTGGAATTCTTATCTTCACATTGCCAAAACCTCTTCATCCCTCAATAACTTCAAGCGAAGACTGGGGGTCAGCCTGATGAACCAAACTACTCAGTAATCTCCTCCATATAGCCAAACTCTCACACACTCACATCCACACATGCACACACACATTTAAACAAAACATATACTCGTTATAATTTTTTGTGATTGCTGATCAGTTCATTTGTAAATGTATGATTAGTGGGTTTTGTTATCTGTTTTAACAAACCTTTTTTATTTTTGTTACCTATGTATTGTATATAGTTTTTTTGTGGTGTGGTTTTTGAATAAGCCTTTGGGCTTCCAAACACACCTGCGCACCATTTTATATTTATTTGTTTTTATCTGTATTGTTGTTTATCACTTATTTTCTTTGGTGCAAATAAATTAAACCTTAAATGAAATCTTAAACTGTCTTTGTTGTTACTTTTAAGGTTGGAACCAACATGCAGTACCTCCAGCAGGCAGAGAGGCAAGAACCATTCATCCGCCAGCTCAGGGACAAGCTACACTATTCACAGCCCTGTTCAATGTATTTGCATTGTTGGACTTTTTGAAACTTCATGCATTTGTATAGTTTTAAAAACGTACGAATAAAAGGAAATGTATGGTTTGAACATGTCTTTAATGTTTATTTGTTTTAGCTGTTAGTGATCATTCTCTAAGTGTCAGTAAGCCTTTATGTATAGTGCATTCGTAAAGTATTCAGACCCATTCCCTTTTTTCCACATCTTGTTACATTACAGCCCTATTCTAAAATGGATTTTAAAAATTACAATTCCTCATCAATCTACACACAATACCCCATAATGACAAAGCTAAAACAGGTTTTTAGAAATGTTGGCAAATGTATTACAAATTACTTAAGTATTCAGACCCTTTGCTATGAGACTCGAAATTGAGCTCAGATGCATCCTGTTTCCATTGATCATCCTTGAGATGTTTCTAAAACTTGATTTTTTATGCCTGAATACGATGGCTCACTGTTCGTTGTTGCCATTTCCTGCCTAGGTTTGCCCACTTTGCCAATAAAGTAATCATTAAAATAATTGGCAACATCAAATGGTTTTGTGATGAATAAGCCATCTGATTCGATGAAGGATGGAGTTGAATTTGTCTTTCTGCCCGTAATTTCATTTAAAGTACTCCAACGTTTTTTTCCATCATTCTTTATACCATTGATCTTGGCTTCATAATACAGTTTCTTCTTCTTTTTGTTGAGTTTATATCACGACTCAGGATATGACCCAGATGCAGACACAGGAGGCGGATGGTTCGGTTCTCAGAATATTTATTATAACAAATGCAGGCAACAGGGCAGGTCGAGGGCAGGCAGAGGTTCGTAATCCAAGGCAGAGTCAAAAAGGGACAAAACGGCAGGCAGGCTCAGGGTCAGGGCAGGCAGAATGGTCTGAAAACAAGAACTTGAGAACTGGAGAAACGGGAAACACGCTGGTAAGACCTGACAAAACAAGACAAACTGGCAACAGACAGACAGAAAACGCAGGTATAAATACTAATGGGGAAAATAGGAGACACCTGGTGGGGAGTGGAGACAAGCACAAGACAGGTGAAACAGATCAGGGTGTGACAGTATCCCCCCCCCCCCCCCCCCCCCCCCCTAGGGGCGCCACCTGGCGTCCTACCCGGGTACATACCTGGTTTATCGGTGTGCCGGCGGCGGACCTCAGCGATGAGGGCTGGGTCCAGGATGTTCCTAGCGGGGACCCAGCACCTTTCCTCCGGGCCATAACCCTCCCAGTCAACCAGGTATTGGAATCCCCTGCCCCGAGGTCGAACACTCAGGAGGCGCCTCACCGTGTACGCCGGATGGCCGTCGATGAGACGGGGGAGAGGGTTGGGCGTGGCAACAGTAGACAAAGGGCTGTGAGACAGTTTAATCTTAGACACATGAAAAGTGGGATGTATATGGAGGGTGCTGGGCAACAGAAGACGAACAGCAGTGGGGCTAAGGATGGTACTTCCTGTTTGAGTTTTTGCTTGTAAGCAGGAATCAGGAGGATAGAGTTATGGTCAGATTTGTATTTGTATTTTCTATTTCACCTTTATTTAACCAGGTAAGCCAGTTGAGAACAAGTTCTCATTTACAACTGCGACCTGGCCAAGATAAAGCAAAGCAGTGCGATAAAAACAACAACACATAGTTACATATGGGGTAAACAAAACATAAAGTCAAAAATACAACAGAAAATATATATACAGTGTGTGCGAATGTAGTAAGTTATGGAGGTAAGGCAATAAATAGGCCATAGTGCAAAATAGTTACAATTTTGTATTAACACTGGAATGATAGATGTGCAAAAGATGATGTGCAAGTAGAGATAATTGGGTGCAAATTAGCAAAATAAATAACAATATGGGGATGAGGTAGTTGGGTGGGCTAATTTCAGAATGGCTGTGACACTTAAAGTTAGTGAGGGAGATAAGAGTCTCCAGCTTCAGAGATTTTTGCAGTTCGTTCCAGTCATTGGCAGCAGAGAACTGGAAGGAATGGCGGCCAAAGAAGGTGTTGGCTTTGGGGATGACCAGTGAGATATACCTGCTGGAGCGCAGACTGCGGGTGGGTGTTGCTATGGTGACCAGTGAGCTAAGATAAGACGGGGATTTGCCTAGCAGTGATTTATAGATGACCTGGAGCCAGTGGGTTTGGTGACGAATATGTAGTGAGGGCCAGCCAACAAGAGCGTACAGGTCACAGTGGTGGGTAGTATATGGGGCTTTGGTGACAAAATGGATGGCACTGTGATAGACTACATCCAATTTGCTGAGTAGAGTGTTGGAGGCTATTTTGTAAATGACATCGCCGAAGTCAAGGATCGGTAGGATAGTCAGTTTTACGAGGGCATGTTTGGCAGCATGAGTGAAGGAGGCTTTGTTGCAAAATAGGAAGCCGATTCTAGATCTAACTTTTGATTGGAGATGCTTAATGTGAGTCTGGAAGGAGAAATTACAGTCTAACCAGACACCTAGGTATTTGTAGTTGTCCACATACTCTAGGTCAGACCCGCCGAGAGTAGTGATTCTAGTTGGGTGGGCGGGTGCAAGCAGCGTTCGGATGAAGAGTATGCATTTAGTTTTACTAGTGTTTAAGAGCAGTTGGAGGCTACGGAAGGAGTGTTGTATGGCGTTGAAGCTCGTTTGGAGGTTTGTTAACACATTGTCCAATGAAGGGCCAGATGTATACAAAATGGTGTCGTCCGCATAGAGGTGGATCCGAGCGTCACCAGCAGCAAGAGCGACATCATTGATTTACACAGAGAATAGAGTCGGCCCGAGAATTGAACCCTGTGGCACCCCCATAGAGACGGCCAGAGGTCCAGACAACAGGCTCTCCGATTTGACACATTGAACTCTATCTGAGAAGTAGTTGGTGAACCATTAGGTCTGCCAATAAGAATGCGGTGGTTGACAGAGTCGAAAGCCTTGGCCAGGTCGATGAAGACGGCTGCGCAGTACTGTCTTTTATCGATCGCGGCTATAATATCGTTTAGGACCTTGAGCGTGGCTGAGGTGCACCCATGACCAGCTCGGAAACCGGATTGCATAGCGGAGAAGGTACGGTGCGATTCGAAATGGTCTGTGATCTGTTTGTTAACTTGGCTTTCAAATACTTCCGAAAGGCAGGGTAGGATTGATATAGGTCTGTAACAGTTTGGATCTAGAGTGTCACCCCCTTTGAAGAGGGGGATGACCGTGGCAGCGTTCCAATCTCCGGGGATCTCAGATGTTACGAAAGAATAGGGGTTGCGTAATTTCGGCGGCTAATTTTAGAAAGAAAGGGTCCAGATTGTCTAGCCCAACTGATTTGTAGGGGTCCAGATTTTTCAGCTCTTTCAGAACATCAGCTGTCTGAATTTGTGTGAAGGAGAAGCGGGGGTGGGCATGGGCAAGTTGCAGCGGAGGGTGCAGAGCTGGTGGCCGGGTTAGTGGTAGCCAGGTGGAAAGCATGGCCAACCGTAGCAAAATGCTTGTTGAAATTCTCAATTATTGTAGATTTATCAGTGGTGACAGTGTTTCCTAGCCTCAGTGCAGTGGGCAGTGCTACAGGATGCAAATTTCTGTTTGAAAAAGCTAGCCTTTGCTTTCCTAACTGATTGTGTATATTGGTTCCTGACCTCCCTGAAAAGTTGAATATCACGGGGGCTGTTCGATGCTAATGCAGTACGCCACAGGATGTTTTTGTGCTGGTCAAGGGCAGTCTGAGGAGAACCAGGGGCTATATCTGTTCTTAGTTCTGAATTTTTTGAATGGGGCATGCTTATTCAAGATTGAGAGGAAAGCACTTTTAAAGAACAACCAGGCATCCTCTACTGACGGAATGAGGTCAATATCCATCCAGAATACCCGGGCCAGGTCAATTAGAAAGTCCTGCTCGCTAAAGTGTTTTAGGGAGCGTTTAATAGTGATGAGGGGTGGTCGTTTGACCGCGGACCCATTACGGACGCAAGCAATAAGGCAGTGATCGCTGAGATCCTGGTTGAAGACAGTGGAGGTGTATTTAGAGGGTACATTTGTCAGGATGATATCTATGAGGGTGCCCATGTTTACATATTTAGGGTTGTACCTGGTAGGTTCGCTGATAATTTGTGTAAGATTGAGGGCATCTAGTTTAGATTGTAGGTTGGACGGGGTGTTAAGCATATCCCAGTTTAGGTCACCAAGCAGTACGAACTCTGAGGATAGATGGGGGGAAATCAGTTCACATATGGTGTCCAGGGCACAGCTCGGGGCTGAGGGGGGTCTGTAGCAAGCGGCTACAGTGAGATACTTATTTCTGGAAAGGTGGATTTTTAGAAGTAGAAGCTCAAACTGTTTGGGCACAGACCTGGATAGTACGATAGAGTAGATAGTCTCTACAGTAGATTGCAACCCCACCCCCTTTGGCAGTTCTATCGAGACGGAAAATGTTGTAGTTGGGGATGGAAAGTTCTGCATTTTTGGTGGCCTTCCTAAGCCAGGATTAAGACACTGCTAGAACATCAGGGTTGGCGGAGTGTGCTAACGCAGTGAATAACTCAAACTTAGGGAGGAGGCTTCGGATGTTAACGTGTAAGAAACCAAGGCTTTTACGGTTACAGAAGTCAACAAATGATAACGCCTGGGGAGTAGGAGTGATACTGGGGGCTTCAGGGCCTGGGTTAACCTCTACATCACCAGAGGAACAGAGGAGGAGTAGAATAAAGATACGGCTAAAGGCTTTAAGTACTGGTCTTCTAGTGCGTTGGGTACAGAGAAAAAAATGGGCAGATTTCCGGGCGTTGTAGAATAGATTCAGGGCATTGTGTACAGACAAGGATATGGAAGGATATGAGTACAGTGGAGGTAAACCTAAGCATTGGGTAACGATGAAAGAGATAGCATCACTGGAGGCACCGATTGAGTCGGTCTCCGCGTGTATGGGGGGTGGGACAAAGGAGCTATCTAAGGCAGGTTGAGCTGGGCTGGCGGATCTACAGTGAAATAGTACAATAAGAAATAACCGAAACAGCAATAAGCAAGGCATATTGACATGGGAGAGAGGCATAAAGCAATCAAAGGTGTTATTCGAGAGAGCTAAGACAACAGCCGGTAATGGCGACAAAGTTTGGCTGAGGCTAAACATAAACAGGATGCGGTACCATGTAAAGGAACAGTCCAGCAGGCATCAGCTGTATAGCTGAGTTATCATAAGGTCCGGTGAACAGCAATAGCAGAGTTCGGAGGTAGTTCGGGGGCTGCTACAGCACTGGTGAGCAAGAGGCCACGGCTTGCATGTGCTAGCGGGCCGGGGCTAGCAGATGGATCTTCGTGGTCGACGTCAGACGATTTCGTCGGCAGACCAGTCGTGTTGGATCGGCTGGGCGCCGTGTCAACACTAGGAGGTCCCGTCCGGTTGACAGAGAGGTAGATAGCCGGGAGATGGGCCTGGCTCGAGGCTAGCTCAAGGCTGATTAGCCAACAACAAAATTCAATTATTTGCAGCTAGCTGGTTGCGATGATCCGGTGTTAAAGGTCCAGTGATTCAGTGATTCCGGCAGAAAAAATCGATATGTTCTGGGTCGATAACGCGCTGTGCAGACAGTGCAGACTGGCCGATAATAGTCCAGGCTAGAGCTGGCTGGTAGGTAGTGCAGGCCACGGACAATGGTGAAAAACCGCTAACGGTGGCTAATAGCAAGTAGCTAGTTAGCTGGCTACTCCCGTCCGGTAGACAGAGAGGTAGATAGCCGGGATATGGGCCTGGCTCGAGGCTAGCTCAAGGCTAACTGGTGCTTGCTTCGGGGGCAGTGGTGATTAGCCAACAGCAACATCCATTCGGTTGCGGCTAGCTAGTTGCGATCCGGTGTTAATGTCCAGTGATTCAGTTATTCCGGCAGAAAATCCGATGTTCTGGGTGAAAACCGCTAACAGTGGCTAATAGCAAGTAGCTAGTTAGCTGGCTAGCTAGTTTCAACTGGAGATTCTAGATAAAAGGTAAGTCAATAATAGAATCCGTTCCACATTGAGTGCGGCGGGTTGCAGGAAAGTATATTTAGTAGAAGGATGAAAAATGTGATAGGGAAATATGTACGAAAAATACAAAAAAACTGGCTATTTACACGGACACACAACAAAGAACACGACCGCACTGCTACGCCATCTTGGATGATGCCGAATGGAGGGCGAGGGAAAGCTTTGTATGCGTCTCTGTGTGTGGAGTAAAGGTGATCTAGAGTATTTTTTCCCTTTAGTTGCACAGGTGACATGCTAGTAGGAATTAGGTCAAATGGATTTCAGTTTTCCTGCATTGAAATCAGTGATTGTACATTCGCCAATAGAACAGAGGGTTTCATCAGGGTGCCCCCACATCGGCCTCTATATCGCCGTCTTTTCCTCTTTCGAGTGTTGGGGATTAGGGCATTATGTCCTGCCGGCCGAATCAGGGAAGTAGAATTCTTCATCCAAATCGAGGCTAGTGATCGCTGTTCTGATGTCCAGAAGCTCTTTTCAGTCATAAGATGGTGCAAACATTATGTACAAAAATAGTTAAGATCAGCGCAAAAAAAACACACAAAATAGCATAATTGGTCAGGAGCCTGTAAAATAGCCGCTATACATCCCAGCACCATTCTTAGTGAATGGCTGAAATGTATTGTCTACGTCCCAAACGGCACCCTGCCATAAGGCACTGGTTAAATATAGTGCACTATTTAGGGAATAGGGTGCCATTTGGTGTCTTCTCTAATTCAGTCACATTTAAATAGGATAACCTTGGTATTAAATGCATTTGGTTTTGATCTTTTGAATTGAGAACCTTTTAGAAGTAGAGCTTTGACATTTGGAAATGGTGCATACGTTTGTTTAGACACTCTTTGCATTACATGGATGTTATTGCAAGGTAAATTAACATTTAAATTAAGTAATTTAAGTAATTTAATTCCCTTAAGCCCAACAGCCTGCCTTGAGTGCAACCTTGAGGCCTGTGGACGGGACTGTCTTCCAGAACCCTACCACCAGGGGGGGCTCCCTACTCAGAGGTCTGCCTAACTCAGCCATCCTGGTGTACTCTCTACTGGGCTTGTCTCTGGCTCTGCTGCTGTTGACCCTGTCTTTGGCCCTGCTTGTGCTGCTGAGGAGGGCCAGTGCCAGGGGCCGCCGAACAGGGGCCACACAGAGCAGTCACAACCAGGGCCGTGGAAGCAAGGAGGCCCAAGAACCTAACCAGCATAGCCAGTCCTCCAAAGGTCAGTTTGGGCACAACTCTAGTCTAAAATGTAGCTCAGGGCATGTCTTCATAAAGCCACTCAGAGTTGGAGTGCTAATCAATCAGGTTCCCCCGTTCATTTATTCCTATTCATTAAGATCTAAAAGTGAAAAAGATCACAATCTTATAACTCAACATGGCTTCTTTTAGCTTGTTTATCTCTGTGTGTGTGTGTGTGCATATGTACCATCTTTAGACAGCCTGATGGATCCATCCCTGCCCCAGCTGAACAGTGTGACAGCGGGCCATTTGTCCAGCCCCACAGAGACCTGTGTGTGTGTCCACTGCTTCCCTGACCTCAGAGTGCCCGGCAGGGGAGAGAAGCAGCAGAGACCCCCTCTCAGCCTCTACCAGCAGGCTGTCCCCCAGGACCTCCACACTCCTACCAGACCACTCCATTGTGGATCATCACAAAAAATAATCTGCTCCCCCTCTCAGCCCATCTTCTGAAAGGAGCAGAACTGAAAGCGACTAGACACTTCAGCAATCATAGAGATCCTATTAAATTACTAGAGGGGCTGTCATAAACCCTCAAAGTTCCATAATGGGCCGAAAATGGCAGCCATCTTGGTCAGGGAGAAATCCAAAACCAGACTAATTGGAATGAATGGCAGAGGCATAGGTGATGCATTTCTTGCTTTTAGTTATGCAGGAAAATAAAAGTAAGGCAGGGGATGTATTAGAAATTGTGTAATGGAATTATAGTCAACCTAAAATAGTGTCATAATTATAAATACAGTTGATAAAGGTTTAATACCAATTTTCTGTACAAATACCTTCTAAAATATATGTAAACAGACCATACGTCTCAGACTGTTTTCTTGGAAAACAGAGTGCTATTCTATGATACAATATCAGTACTTACGTCCTATCATCAACTGATTTGAGCCAGTGTATGACTGTGGATTGACTGCCTTATTTGAATGGAACGTTTGCATATTGGATGTTAATTAGAAAAACGTATGGAGTCATTCCTCTAAAACTGGCTGGCCAGCTAGCTAGCAAGCAAACTCCCATACAATGCAGATCAATTCTTCACATACATTGTTTTACACAATATCTTATCACAGCACTGGTAAACCAAGGTTGACCAACATGGCTGACCTTTGGACCATCATGAGGTTCATGGCCATTCTAGTATTATCATTCCTAATTCTATTATAGCAATAAACAACCCTAGACAGATCTGACACCACCCACTCCAGGGTGAAGTTTCCCCTAGGTACAGATCTAGGATCAGCTTGCCCTCCCCAATCCAAACCGGAACCATTAGTGAGAAAAAAATTATCTTCTAAACTGGCCCAAGATCAGCCACGTCTAGGGGCAACTTCACCTGGCCTACACCACGCAGACCAGAAACAACTCTCCCTGTGATGTGAGAAGTCTGGAGAGCAGAAATGAATAGGTGGTGAAGGAAAATGGAAGGATACACGAGAAACTGTATCGAGGGAGTGACAAGGGAGTAACAGAGAACATGATATATGCCCGTATGTACTTACACCAAACAAATGACACCTGCTACATCTCTTGGGAGACATTCACATGTGGGTGGCCTCCTTGTGCCATGATTCAGCAAAGACCTCCAGTAAATCTTGTACAAGTTAATAAAACCCTGAAGCACACAGGAGAGTATAGATATAGATTTTTATTATGTGTATCTCACCATCATTGTGTCCAGTTCTTGCAGCAGATAAAGTGTTGGGGATGTATTTGACTAGCATGACGACGCTTGGCTATTTCCAGCAACATGGATAAAGGAACTCAGTTTATACCTTTTTTTTTAAACATACGTACTGTACATACATACTTGAACATACATAATTAACATGTGAAAAAAAGTACTGATTCAGTACACAAACATGGGCACAACACATGTGCGTACGCACACACAATTAGAGCAACATGTGGCCAAAGTTTAACACTGTTGGATCAAGCCGCGGCCGCCGGCAGGATACACACCATGTCTCGTCTTTTTCTTATTCACAACAACGCATCACCTGAAACATCTTCACAACCATGTCAGCAACACAACCATTATCCCATCATCACAAGAAACAAACAAACCAACCAACAAACGTGAAAAAGGCTCCACAACAGCAGTCTCATAAGAAGCATACATTTTTTCTATTTTTGAAAAATACATGATTGACTGCACAACATAACAAGGACAGGGGTTCGAGGGAGGGGGGAACATGGGAAACCGTGAATAAGGATTCAAATGACTTGTAAAAATATACTTCTATATATTCCCTGCCCTCAAAGAAGAAGAAAAAAGAGGGGGGGGGTAGACTTTTCACAGAACAACAACCTCCCTTTTTCTACCTCCATCTTTTCCTCAGTAAAAAACAATGTGCGCAAGATTAATCATACAGTATTTTACAAACTAAAAAGTTCAAACAATGATTATAGTCATATCTTCTTGTCTTTGAAATGTTCTTAATATAATTTGTCAGCTTGTTTTGCATTCAGGGCAATAATAATGCATATAAAGAAATTACACAACCAAATGTCTTCCCTCCTTTCAAATGTTTGGTCACTTGGAGATGGGTGTGAGTTCGGGGGTGGAATTATGGATTTCAGAAAAATTCTAAAATGACAATGTGAAGTTGACCGTTTTTATCAGATGTGGCCACTGTCGGCCTGTTCCTCCATCTGCCCAAAACAATAGAAGAGGAGAGAGCGAAGCACCTCATCTTCCAACAAAGGCTCCACTCTCCCCCCCCCCCCTCCTCTTCCTCCTTTCAGTCCTATTAAGTAGATCCTACGTAGTAGCTTCCATGCAGATTGGTTTTGGAGTGTCCTTTAGTTAGAAAAGATGCGTGGTTCATTTTCCTTTGCCTCCATTCCCACAGCTTCAATCTTCACTGATGTAGAGTTTCAGGTAGGCTTGTGTTACGTTGCCATCTTTTGTTGCACAACTCTTGGGGGCTGATGACATCAGTGCTGAAGGAAGGAGGCTATTCGTACTCCAGAAACTGTTTATGGTAGAACAAAAGGTACCTGACAACAGAAAAAGACTCAGCGATCAGATTTCACACTCATACAGATAATTCCTCATGATAATGAAAAAGGATGAAAAACACAAGGTAGAAGCTACTGCAGAATGATACATCAAAAGAAAGAATGGGGGAGATGGAGTTTAGGATTAAATAATATACACTGAGTGTACAAAACATTGAGAACACCTTCCTAATAGCAAGTGTTCATTATGTATACTAAGTGTATAATGTAATAATAATATATAATAATAATAATAATAATAATAATAATAATAATAATAATAATAATAATAATAATGTGGCTTTGAAGTCTACTGATTGACAATACAATATAAACTGGACTAAAAAGCATGTTCAATGGAGAATCTCCAAGTGCTTTTTACTCCTGGACTAGGCTTAATCGATGTCTGGGAAACCTCCCTCAAAAGACAGTGGGTAGATGTTGCCCCTAACCCCTGACACCAGATCTGCTATATGTTTAACCCCGTAATGGTAAAGGTAAGGATTGTATGAGCTTTTAACCCATAAGAGTCTAAGCCCTGTCTAAGCCAGGGGAGGGGAGTTCTACATTTTTACATTTGAGTCATTTATCAGCTGCTCTTATCCAGAGCAACTAGGGTTAAGTGCCTTGTTCAAGGGCACGTCGACAGATTTTTCAACTAATAGGCTCAGGGATTCGAACCACCAACCTTTCGGTTACTGGCCCAACGCTCTTAACCGCTAGGCTACCTGCGGCCCAGTTCTACTAAGCTATATGGAATTGTTTTAAGAAGGTCATACCGATGATCATTTAGCTATTTGATTTTGAATGTTAGGACCCCTTGAAGTATCCCCAAAAAATATTTAAATATAATTTGATGAAAACATATTTTTGGCTTACTGCTATTAGCCCATACATGGAACAACAGATAGTCCCCCCCAAAAAACCTAAAGAAAGTTTGTTCTGAAGTGTCTGACCTATATCTGAGAGATATAAGAAAGATCAGGACACATTTGTATATATTCTTTTTTTTTGTATTTATGTATTTAACCCCTTATTTTTGGCACTAAACAGTGTCCATATATACTTCCATTAATGTTTTCAACTGGTACCAGGGAAGCTTCAGACAAGTCTTGTGGGCGTCCTAGAGCAAAACAACAAAATGACATTATGTGTTCGTGAGAGTCTCACCTTTCTACAGAGGGGTAATATTAGTGTGTAGCCCAAACTGTTCGGACGCTACAGACAGAAGTTGGCAGATTGGCTGTACTGACTTCAGACGAGTCCCAAGACGCTTGTGGGGGTCGTAGAGCAAAACGGAGAACACCACCGTTTGTTGGCCAACAATAGTTTGTAGGCCAAACCGTTTGGACGCTACAGACGATTTTGTGAGAAGACCAATTTTGCAGGATGTCTCATGGTTTGACAAACACCGCTCTAGCTCTGTCACTGCAGATGCGGAAGTGCGACATCAGTGGATACGGTGGATTGAGATGCCTTCAATGCAACAAAAAAATACATTTCTCTAGCTTAAACGGACAGATTTTTAAACTATGCTAATTTGATTTCCGCGGGGGCAGGGACATCGACCTTAAGGGGTTAACACCATAAAGGTTGAGGTTGTAGTGGTCTGAGCTCACCCTTCACTGTCCAGTACGTCCTTGATGCTGGCCTTGGTGATGACGGCATCGTCACACTTGAACCACTGGTCCTTGTGCTGCCGGATGAACGTGGTGTAGTGACCACTCTCCAGAGTACCCTGGTGGTTGACCACCGCAAACAGAGAATACCTGGAGGGAGAGAGGGGAAGGCATGGAGAGAGAGTGGAGGGAGGGAAGGAGGGGGAGAGAAAGAGAGAACGGGAGAGGGGGAAGAGAGCGAGAAAGGGAGGCAGAAAATGGGTGAGAATTGGTTCAAATCAAAGCAATTCACTGTCATTATATTGTTCTTTACATGCAACATACACTGAGTATACCAAACATTAGGAAAACTTCCTAAAATGTTGTTGCAACCCTTCCTTTTTCCCTCAAAACAGTCTCAATTCGTCCAGGCCTGGACTCTACAAGGATGCTGCCCCATGTTGTGTCAAGTTGGCTGGATGTCTTGATACACACAGGAAACTGTTGAGCGTGAAAAACCCAGCAGCGTTGCAGTTCTTGACACAAATCGGTGCGCCTGGCACCTACTAACATACCCCGTTTAAAGGCACTTACATTTTTTGTCTTGCCCATTCATCCTCTGAATGGCGCACATGTACAATCCATGTTTCAATTGTCTCAAGGCTTAAAAATCCTTCTTTAACCTGTCTCCTCCCCTTCACCTACACTGATTGAAGTGGATTTAACAAGTGACATCAATAAGGGATCATAGCTTTTACCTGGATTTCCCTGGTTATTAGTCTGTCACGGAAAGAGCAGGTGTTCCTAATGTTTTGTATACTCAGTGTAATACCATTGTTAGAGGGACAGTGCACTTACTTATTGTCGTTGAAAACGTCTACTGACTGCTGGTACTGTCCGTTCATCCTGTTCTCTTTACTGAAAGACACACAATATGTCAGCAACAACGAACAAAGACCATCACACTAAGCCATCCTCTAGCTTAATATCATACATGTACATTACAATAAATCCTCAGAACACCCCTTTGAAGTTGAGTTAGCTATGAGATTAACACCTCACCCTGTCAGGCACTGTTTCTAATGAGGCCCCTGACTTACTGACACTAATCATAGATTACATTCCCACCTTCGCACCAATGTAACACATCCCTTTCATACGTACACTTATTCATTCAATTCATGCAGTTGCAGTCATCCCTTTCTTTCTCTCTGGAGGAGAGCGATCTGAATCCATTTGACTTAATTTGAGTCCCCTCAGCAGCAGGTGCCGTTTTGACATGCTGCACATCAGGGGATACGCATGGGGAGTTACGGATGAGTGTGTGTGTGCGCGCACACCTGTGTTTGGCTAATTAAGTTAAACCACCAATTACATACACAGCAAATGGATGTGGTTGGTCGGACAGCACATACACACACACGTATAATTCTATGCGGGAGAGGGGGTGCATCTCAATTGACTCAAGGGGCCTTTCCCGTTCTCCTTTCCTTCATTATCACTGATTTAAGAATCAGCAGGTGAAGGCTACATAGCAAAGAGACCATCAGTGGACTGATTTTCACTTAGTCACTTCTCTCAGATCAGTGCAGAAGAAGGATAATATGAATAAAGGAAGGGACTTCAGACTATTGAGATGCAGCCCTGGTCTCCTCCACTGTGTGACTGGCTCATTGTTCAGACTGACCTGGAGGCCATGAAGGGAGTCATATCCAGCTCTAAGGGGAACGAGACGTACGTAATGATCTTCCTCCGCAACTTCGCAGAGTGTTCAAACCGCTGGAGAGAGAGAGAGACAGAGGAGAGCAAGAGTGGAGTACGAGACAAAGGGAGCGGTTAAGAGATATTACAGTGGTAGGACGTACTAAAGTTCTATTTTTTTTACACAAATACAGAGAAAACACACTCACTTTGAGGTGGAAACACGCCACAATGGGGAGCTTCTTCATGGTCAGCTGTTTGGTGGACTCCTGGTAACTATGGCAACCGCTACACTTGATCTTGGCGCCGCTCCCTAAGTGCTCTGGTCGGGTAAACCTGCAGAAGACGGACAAGGGTAAGAACACACTCCGTGCGTGCGTGTGTGAGTGTGTCTGCATGGTAGAAAGATGGACAGCCGAATAGAGAGATACAGAGAAGGTTAAAGCGATGAGTGGAAGTGGAAGGAAATAGCCAGAGGGATGATTACCTGCATAGACAAAGTGAGAGTGATGGCCGCTGATAGACGGAGAGCGGGAGAGAGAAAGAGAGCAACAGCGAAAGGGATAGTGATGAAGATAAAGGGATGAGTAGTACCTGCCTAGACAATCAGTAAGTGTGGTGGCCCCTGACAGGTGGAGAGAGGGATAGAGTGATGAGATACCTGCGTAGACAGTCTGTGAGTGTGGTGGCCCCTGAGAGGTGGCTCTCTCCGTTGAGTGTGCTGCCGTCCCCCCCGGGGCTGAGGGGCCAGAAGGGCGTGGACGACCCCGGCAGGTCCAGACTGATGTCCCAGAATGGGTCTATCGTCGTGGAAACACCACTACAGGACGAGAGGGGAGGGGTCTGTTAGGGAATGGCCCTGTAACGTTTGGGCTTTGACTGACCCAAAGCCTATTAAAACCATCTTATGACCCCCACCATATAAGTACATTTTAGTCATTTAGCAGACGCTCTTATCCAGAGTTACTTACAGGACCAATTATGGTTAAGTGCCTTGCTCAAGGACACAAACAGATTTTTCACCTAGTTGGCTCGGGGATTAGAACCAGCGACCTTTCAGTTACTGACCTAAACCTCTTAACCGCTAGGCTACCTAAGTAGTCACAGTAACAACACTTTGACAATGTTAGTTTGCATGCGAGTGTATATTTAGACGTGTTAGCTGACAACGACACGCACGCTTCAATGGGGTAGAAGTCTGAGTCCTGTAAGTGATTTGGGATGGCTACCAACAATGTCAAGAAACTGCGATGTGGGCAATCGTAAGTGACTCGTTTCAGCTAGTTTCATCTTCTTGATAAGATGTCTTGTTTTGAGGTATTTTGACTGATTTCATGCCAATGCTAATATGGCTAAAATTACCTAGTTAGCTAACCAACAACTTTAACGATGTATTTGAGAGACAACAAGTGCTCATTGTGCAAATTTATGTTTTTAATAAACATTGGAGACTAAATATATTTTACATGTCAACAATCTAAGCCAACCCTGTCTGTTTTGCCCCATAGTTGCGCACACGTCGGTTTTGTTGCTAAACAACCAATCCGTCTATACAAATCAAAAAAAAAATTGCACTAATGCTTCTCAATCAGGGTTGCAAACTCAAAATGAAATCACTGATTCTTTGTGAATGAGTAAATATTGTGCAATGATCCATGTGTCCCCCAGATGTGGGTAGAACACTATGTCAGAGCCTACACTGGCCAGTAGGGGGCCTGGCTGCTAAAGCAATGGGAGTGGAGCAGTGGGTGGTGTGTGTGTTCAAAAATCAGTCCCACTCTCCCTGACTCCCTGCAGAGGAGAAGGGGTCAGATCAGGGATGAGTGAGTGATGTAAAAAAAGTGTTGGTTTGAAGCCTGATCAACATGATGCAACAAGAGTACACACACACACACAGTAAGGGTGAAACATAAAGATGTAGAGGAAAAATAACTTTCACACTGCTGACAAGCACACACACACACACACACACACACACACACACACACAGAGAGAGAAAGAGAGAGGAGCATACTGGCAGACTTGACAGGTGACGTCAGACTGCAGGCCCCCAGTGAAGATTTGGTCGATGATGCAGTTGCAGTTATTGGGGTTGTTGGCCTTCTTCCCGTTATCATCTCCTTGGTGAACATGGAGAGCACAGGGACAAACATACACACGATTGAGAATTAAAGCTTGTCGACTGCCGCAGAACCCCCCCCACCCCCCCACCCACAGTATCAGAGAAAGACAGATCGAGAGAAAGAGTGAGAAAATGAGGGATGTTGGAGGAGGACACAGCCAAGCAAACACAATCAGCACTTATGTAAAGAGGCTCTTTGTCTGTGTCAATTAGCAGCCTCTCATCTCAGCACATCCAGGCAGTCAGATAGCAGACCAGCCAGTTCCTTCACTCTCCTCCTCTCTAGTTCATTCTCCCCCACTCGCTGTCCTCTTCCTTTCTCATATTCCTACTTTTCCTCCAATCGTTTGATCGTAGCAGAAGTACAGAGTGTGGGTGCCATTCGAGTAGAGCAGTATTGCTTTCTACAATCGGATTGTCTGTACAAGTATGTGTGTGTACATGTACGTGGGTGAAAGGCTGTGTAATTTTAGGGTGTCTGCCACTATATATAAAAAGGTAGGTCTTATAATGTAGTGTGTGTGTGTGTATGCTCCTGTACTATGATGCAGACCTTTGCAGTGGCGGTGCAACACGTCCAGGGCAGCGATGAGGAACTCGTGGGCATCCTGCTGCTCGTAGCCTGCTAGGTGGCGCGCGTGAGTCCACACCAGGTGCAGCAGTCGGAAGGGAATGTGGGGCGAACGGTGGCCCGAGTAGAACTGACAGAGAGAGAGAGAGGAAGAAAGAACGGAAATGTTAAAAATGGGAGGGGAGAAGGAGCGGGGGAATGGAGAGGGAGAAAGAAAGTGAGGCGAGGGAAAAGAAAAAGAAGGATAAGAGAGAATAAGGGTTGGCGAAGGGGCGGGATGAAACAGGGCCTTAAACCATGCAAATCCCACCACGTACGGACTCAATGTGACAATGACTTAGCTAGCTAAGTACTTTCCACAATAATGGTTTTAGAGGAAGAGAAAAAGAAGATCGTTTTGGGCTGAGATGAAAGATTTAGAAGAAGAGTGCTAGACAGCAGTAGAGGTGGGCTGAGAAACAAAGAGGGAGGAGAATGGAGGAGGTGTGAGCCTGAAAGAGAGAAATATATGTTTAACCCCTTACCTCTTGAAAGAGCTGGGACATCTCACACACCAGACAGGAGTTGGACTGCATTTCACACTTGTGTCTGTCGGACAGGAAGAAGTCCCGCAGCAGGGGTGTGTGGGTGAGAGCCTGGACGATACAGTTCATAAAACACGTGTTGCCCAGATTGATCAGACCTCGAAGACCTGAGGGAGAGAGGGGAGGTTTAGAGGTAGAGAGGGGAAGAGCAACAGAGAGAGAAGCAGGAGGCAGGAGATGGAGAGAAAAAGGAACAGACAAGTAAATGGGGGGGGGGGGGAAAGAGCTTGAGAGAGAGAGGGAGGGAGGGAGAGAGATGTAGAAACACAGAGATCATACCAATCTTGAATATTATTTCCAGTTCCAAAACCACTACAGTAAATGAGAACCAGTGGAGCCAAGGCTGTAACAGATGGTCACAGTGGTCCCTAGACGGAGGTTGGAGTGAACACAGCAGCCCCACACTGTCAGGAGGACAACAGGGTAAGACCCACAGAGCTGGGATACCCTGACAGGTAGGGTTGCATGCAAAGCTACCGGTAATTTCAATCTATTGTAACTTTGGTAATTTATACTTGAATAATAGTCCCCGTGCCCAAGAACGCCAAGGTAACCTGCCCCGTAGCACACACATCTCTAGCCATGAAATGCTTTGAAAGACTGGTCATGGCTCACATCAACACCATCATCCCAGACACCCTGGACCCACTCCAATTCGCATACCACCCCAACAGATGCACAGATGACGCAATCTCTATGGCACTCTACACTGCCCTCACCCACCTGGACAAAAGGAATACCCAAGGTAAGAATGTTGTTAATTGACTACTGCTCATCATTTAACACCATAGTCCCCTCTCCAAGCTCATCACAAGCTCAGAACCCTGGGACTGACCACCTCCCTCTGCAACTGGATCCTAGACTTCCTGACGGAACGCCCCCAGGTGGTGAGGGTAGGCAACAACACATCCGCCATGCTGACCATCAACACGGGGGCCCCTCAGGGGTGTGTGCTTAGTCCCCTCCTGTTTTCCCTGTTTACACACTACTGCGTGGCCACGTATGACTTCAACACCATCAAGTTCGCTGACGACACGACGGTGGTAGGACTGATCAACGACGACAATGAGGCAGCCTATAGGGAAGAAGTCAGAGACCTGGCAGTGTGGTGCCAGGACAACAACCTCTCCCTCAACGTCAGCAAGACAAAAGGAGCTGATCATGGACTACAGGAAACAGAGGGGCGAGCACGCCCCCATCCACATCGATGGGGCTGTAATGGAGCAGGTTGAGAGCTTCAAGTTCCTTGGTGTCCACATCACTAAGGAATAAACACGGCCCACACACACACCCACCCACACAGCGCAAGGCGCTACAGAGGGTGGTGAGTATTGCCCATCACTAGGGCCGAGCTCCCTGTCATCCACAACCTCTATAGCAGCTTGTGTCATTGGAAGGCCCACAAAATTGTCAAAGACTCCAGCCACCAAAGTCATACTGTTCTCTCTGCTACCACATGACATGCGATGTCAGTGCACCAAGTCTGGAACCAACAGGACCCTTAACAGCTTCTACCCCCAAGCCATAAGACTGCTAAATAGCTCATCAAATGGCTACCCGGACTAGCTGCATTGACCCTTCTTTGTATTAACTTTTGCACTGAATGACTATGCACACACAATGGACTCTACCCACACATACTTAGACTGACACCCCAACACGCATACAAAACACGCGCACACATGCATACTGACGCCACATGCACTTTCACACTCACCACATATGCTGCTGCTGCTACTGTCTATTATCTATCCTGTTGCCTAGTCACTTTACCCCTACCTTTATGTACATAGCTACCTCAATGACCTTGTACCCCTGCACATCGACTCGGTACTGGTACTCCCTGTATATAGCCATGTTATTTTTTACTCGTTATTCTTTATTCACTGTGCGTTTATTCCTCATGTCACAATTTCATTATTAATTTTTTTGTTCATCTTTAACTCTGCATTGTTGGAAAGGACCCGTAAGTAAGCATTTCACTAATAGCCTACACCTGTTGTTTACGAAGCATGTGACATTTTTATATATTTTTGTATAACCTTTTATAAAATGATTCATATATACAGTATATATTGTTTATACTGCAATCCATGTTGTCCATGAGTTCCTAGTAGATAGACCATATGGTTCAAGAGAAAATAGCATCTACTCAACAATGGCATTATTTCCAATGAACTCTTCCAACTATTTACTTTTTACACAACTGCCACGAAAACATTTACAACAAATACACAATGACATATTTAAAAAAACATGTTGCTTCTGACCAGCTGCTCACCCTAGAATCCTGAGTTTAGTATTTAACTAAACAGAAAAGGAATGGAGAGACAAGCAGCTCCGGCTGTGAGCACCTGTCAGAGAGCGAGGAGGTTGCTGCCTTCTGGATACGAAAACACCCCCCACAGGGCACCATTAGACACGGTACAGGGCACCTTGACAAAAATACAAATTGAGATTTGAGAGCGCGAGAGAGAAACCGTGAATGTTTAGCACCTAGCAGTAGACTGCTGCGATGTGGTTTAACACCATTCATTCTCCAACCCTGTCTGAGCTGCTCCATAGCTGTGTGGAGGGGGAGGGGTGAGAATGAGAGAGAAGGAGAGGAATGTCTTATTTCTCCACTGGACAGCACTTTCTAAATCCCTGATCAATAACATACTACTACTGTGCACACACATGGACACACACACACACTTTTTCAGACATAGCCAACAGGAGAGTCTGCAATGAGATTAATGAGAGACTGGGGGTTCTATCTACCCACATACTCCAGACATCACAGTCTGTACTGCAGCTGCTGTAATCACACTGAACCTCTTGGGAATTAACTACACCCATATAGAGAGAAGCAGACCAGAGTTGTGTTAGCCCTAGTCCCTTCCCCTAACACTTCTGTGTTTGCGGGCCTTAATGGACCAATATAGCGTGTTCAAAATGGCAATGGCTCCACCAAGCCTTACAACTCCCTTCTGTCATATTGCTTATCCCATTATTGGGTTTCTTCAGATTTGGAAACACAGAAAGGGGAGAGGGTAGGGGCTAGGCAGGGTAAGGAGCTAGGATAAGGGACTATGGTTTGTTTTCACACCAGGCACAAGACAACTCTTGCTGTAGCCAGCCAGTGCGGCACTGGAGGAGCCCTCACCGATGGTGCAGTTTGTCGTCATTTTCCGACGCTTTGGATTGTGCCGCAGCAGCTCCAGCTCTCGCTTGGTGGGCTCCCACGTCGAATACTTCTCCCCTACACCTGACACACACAAACGACAGGAAAGAAAACGTTTAAAAAACAAGTGCAAAGCAGAGACCTTGGAGGACTTAGACAATATGGGTGTTTTACATTGTGTCTACCAGAGATGCAGTAATGTACTAGGGCTGCACGATATGGGCAACAAAAATCTTAATTGCGATTTCTGTACCAAATATTGCGATTTTACTTGCGATTATAGATAACACTTGGGTAAACTGTTGGAATGATAGAAACAGAATGATCATTCTAATTGCATGGTTGGAATACAGTGGGCACTCGGAATGCAGTTTTGTTTGGCATGACAACGAATGAAAAAGTAAGGCAGGAGATTGTTGTGACAAAGCAGGAACCAAAATGTTGGTCAGTGTTTCCCATGGGACCCTAATTACATTTAAAAAGATGGGTAGAATATTCTTTGCCTTTTCCTCTCTGATTAAGAACAAGCTGTTGCACAAACAATATTGATATACTTGCTAGCAAGATTTGCCCTAGCTCAGTGGATTAAGTTGAGTAGGGCTGACCTCAATTAGTCGACTAGTTGATTGTTTGGTTGAGCAGTAGCAATGACATGAATAAATAAATACACTAAATGACCAAAAGTATATGAACACCTGCTCGTCGAACATCTCATTCCAATATCATGGCCATTAATATGGAGTTGGTCTCCCCTTTGCTGATATTACAGCCTCCATTCTTCTGGGAAGGCTTTCCACTAGATGTTGGATCATTGCTGCGGGGACTTGCTTCCATTCAGCCACAAGAGCATTAGTGAGTTCGAGCACTGATGTTGGGCAATTAGGCTCACAGTCGGTGTTCCAATTCATCCCAAAGGTGTTCGATGGGGTTGAGGTCAGGGCTCTGTGCAGGCCAGTGAAGTTCTTCCACACCGATCTCGACAAACCATTTCTGTATGGACCTCGCTTTGTACACTGGGGCATTGTCATGCTGAAACAGGAAAGGGCCTTCCCCAAACTGTTGCCACAAAGTTGGAAGCAGAAAATCGTCTAGAATGTCATTGTATGCTGTAGAGTTGTCAATTGAGTAATTGTCAATATTGCGTAAGGACACGTACCTGATTACGCATAGAAGCAGGCCTATAGGCTACCTGGCCTGCGCACAAATGTAGGCATTTAAATGTAACCATTTGGGGATCTGATAGTATTTCTGATTGGCTTAACGCACCACCACTAATGAGGTGTGGAGCTTCTCAAAGTAATGTTTTCTTCACCTCAAACAGCAAGCAAACTAAGTCTGTTTTCACATCCATTGAGAACAACAGTTCCTCAATCTATATGAAAAATCTTCCCAGCTCTCTCCCTTTCGATAACCACTCAGTGTGAAAGGCAAAAACGTCATAAAATAGGCCCACTTGATTACTTCTTATCCCTTGCGCAAATAGCCGACAGCTGTGTCCGTCCCGAGCTCACTGGCTTTGTAAACTTTGAGGGCCCAGAATATTTTATACAATGTTGCAAGTTTGCTAGCATGAGCTTCAGGCCAGACCCAAGTTAATAGTTGATGCAATGTTTCAAGTTCATTGCAGACAGGCCATGCATAGCCAATGTGATTTATAGGATTTTTTTTATTTTATTTTTTAAATCAGGATATTTTCTACCTGCAGGCTGCAATGTTTTTATTTGTTGGCTTTATGGGCTATTTTTACATAGTTGGCAATGGCAATAGAAGTTACTTTTTAGGTTTGTATCATTTTTATTTAGATAAAAAATTTATTAACCACATAACAATGATCTTGAGATACGAAGACATTATAAATGAAATGACAATGTTACACGAAAATGTGCATATGAAAACCACAACTGGCACGCAGATCGGTAGAAATGGTAAGATAAATTGAAATTCCACATCAGAAAGGTTGCAGACTCCTCGTGTAACCTATTACCGGCAAATTCAGGAGAGTAACATCAGAATCTGCGAAAGCCAGAAGGATCGGGAGGAGGATGGTCGAGTATGTTTTTTTTTCTTGATCTCTGGCTCCCTCTTGTTTGTGTCTTATTTCAAACAGTGCGCTTAAAGCATCAGACAAGCTCAATGCATACAGTGCATTCGGAAAGTATTCAGACCTCTTGAGTTTTTCCACTTTGTTACGTTACAGCCTTATTCTAAAATGGATTAAATTGTTTCCTCATCAATCTACACATAATACCCCATAATGACAAAGCAAAAACACATTTTTTTAATTTTTTGTAAAAAATACAAACTAAACGGAAATACCACATTTACATAGGTATTCAGACCCTTTACTCTGTACTTTATTGAAGCACCATTGGCAGCGATTACAGCCTCTGGTTTTCTTGGGTATGACGCTACAAGCTTGGCACACCTGTATTTGGGGAGTTTCTCCCATTCTTCTCTGCAGATCCTCTCAAGCTCTGTCAGGTTGGATGGGGAGCATCATTGCTCAGAGATTTTCAGGTCTCTCCAGAGATGTTCGATCGGGTTCAAGTCTGGGCTCTGGCTGGGCCACTCAAGGACATTCAGAGACTTGTCCCGAAGCCACTCCTGCGTTGTCTTGGCTGTGTGCTTAGGTGAACCTTTGCCCCAGTCTGAGGTCCTGAGCGCTCTGGAGCAGGTTTTCATCAAGGATCTCTCTGTACTTTGCTCTAGGAAGAGTCTTGGTGGTTCCAAACTTCCTCCATTTAAGAATGATGGAGGCCACTGTGTTGTTGGGGACCTTCAATGCTGCAGAATTTTTTTGGTACCCTTCCCCAGATCTGTGCCTCGACACAATCTTATCTCGGAGCTCTACGGACAATGCCTTCTACCTCATGGCTTGGTTTTTGCTCTGACATGCACTGTCAACTGTGGGACATTATATAGACAGGTGTGTGCCTTCCCAAATAATTTCCAAACAATTAAATTTACCACAGGTGGACTCCAATCAAGTTGTAGAAACATCTCAAGGATGGTCAATGGAAACAGGATGCACCTGAGCTCAAATTCGAGTCTCATAGCAAAGGGTCTGAATACGTATGTAAATAGGGTATCTGTTTTTTATTTGTAATACATTAGCAGAAATGTCAAAAAAAGTGTTTTTGCTTTGTCATGGGGGTGTTTAAAAAATATCCATTTTAGAAAAAGAAAGGGGTCTGAATACCTTCTGATTTTATTAAAACACAGAAAAATACAAATTTCTACCAATCGATTGGTTGAAAGAACAGACTTTGGTTGACCTAAAGAAAATGTCGTCGGGGACAGCCCTAAAGCTGAGACACTCTTTTCACACCACTTCGATAAGAGATTTTCGTAGCAGGTTAGAGAGCATTTTCACTAACCCTTTTCCTAACCTTAACCTCAGTCTCCTAACCTGATATCGATGTGGTGTGAAAAGAGAGTTTCCCAAATAAAAAAATTTTGGGGCACTTTTGCAGCTTGCAAAAACCAACTTACTAGCGAGCAAGTTACACAAAAAGAATAGTATAATATAGAGAACATGTGGATTTATATTAAGAAGCAAAGTGGAAAGGCGCGTCGTTCTTTTTTGGAAAAACCTGTTGACTGCATGCTGTTGTTTGGTCAATGCATGCATTGCAGAGTGAATCTTGAGCATGAGAAACTGCCTGCTTGAGTGACAGGGGGCGGGGCTTGGTGTGTGGGATTGGGAACATGCCAAAAGAGAGACAGAGAGAGAACGCTAAACTCGAGCAATACATCAAAAGTAGTTAAAAAAAAAAAAAAAAAAAAAAAAAAAAGAGGCTCCTAAGTGGCGTTTCTAAATATCACAGCCTCTTGTTATATGGATATTGTGCATATCAATATCACAATTCCATTTAAAATTTGATTAATCATGCAACCCTATACTGCACTATGGCTCCATAAATCTGTGACTATAGCCAAGGGGTCACTGTATAAGTCAGAGGGCAATACTGGGGGATTGAAAAGGGGAAAGAACATACCTTGCAATTTCCACGCTTTCCTTTGTTCCTCTTTGGCAATCTGTTCCATATCTTTGTCGTATATGTAGTCTTGGCACACAAAGCAGTATATCCCTCCATACAATAGATCTATAGCTGGAAGAAAAAAACCCAAAGAGAATGGGAATGAATGAGAGAAAAATGATAGATGGAGAGGAGAAGGAGTTATGAAACAGCTCAAGGCTATGTTGGAACATTCCGTTCATTTGTAGCTCTAGGGTGTGTCCCAAATAGCACCCTATTCCCTATATATAGTGTCCTACTTCTGACCAGGGCCCAGTGCACTATAGAGGGAAAAGGGTGCCATTTGGGACGCAATTCCAAGATTAGTCCTGGAGAAAGGAGAGTATGCAGCTAGCTAGTTCTCTACCTCTGCAAGGCCAGCTTGTGTGCTGACATCTTGACTTTCTGCTAACATCCTTAGCACAGTAATGACGAGGTGTAGAAAAAGATACGGAGTGAGAGGGAGTGCAAAGGGATTAGTCAATGTGAACACATCCCCACTTGAACATTTCATCAGCCATAGTTGACATCTTTTCCACCATTTCATCTGAAAATCCCCCTTTCACAGTCAACTAGTCAGCTACCATGCATGTAGGTACTCACACAGACAGAGGGATATGAAGAGGATAGAGCCAGGTAAAAGCTGCACCTCTCTCTATCCCTCATATCCTCCTCACCTTGTCAGCAACCATAGCTCCAATACCTGTTTGCAGTTCCCATGACAACATGCCTATTCAATTGGCTGCTTGAGGCAGACATAACGATCATCAGGTGTATGTGGAGAAAGCAAGGGACATGCAGGTTGTGTGTGTGTGTGTGTCTAAATGATCACCCAAATGATTAATTACGGTATTAATGTGGATAGATAGTGTTGACTGGAGAGCCAGCTGTGACTGAATGTATTGAAATGTCACACTGGGCCCTGCAGGTGTTGGTGAATACCAAGCTGCAGCTAATAGCAAAGAGTGGAACATCAAGTCTGCCTGTAGATTCAATTCACACACCAAACCAAATACTACAAGTTTTACAGCTGTAATATGCCGTGGATATTGGACATCAGCCTATAATGCTGTCATTGTAGTGAAGATATAACTTTCCTGCAGATTGCCACATCAACAAGGGAGGCACTTTACCTAATCGAGCACAATAAAATAGGATAGAGACTGAAAAGTAAAACCCTAGCCTTAGGCCTCAGATTGAATGACAGGCACACTGTTAATGGCACAATAAGAACTGGAGAGAGAGAGAGAGAGAGAGAGAGAGAGAGAGAGAGAGAGAGAGAGAGAGAGAGAGAGAGAGGTTGCGTAACAAGGTGAGACTTGCTGAGAGAAGACTAAACGAAAATAAACCCACAGACCTGCAGGTTACCATGGGAACCCAGAAAAAGGACGAGAGAAAGATAAATAACCCGATACAGGGAGACAAACATAATACCAAGAGCCAAATTGAGGAAGAACAGACCAAATATCTGAAAGGAAGAAAGAAACCAAAAAATAACTGGAAAATGAGGTGAAAAGAAAAGAATCCAGAAGAGGAGAAGGAACTGGTTTAATTGAATTATGTTGGGTTTATTAAGATGTGTTAATTACTCTGCACACTTGTCTAGTGAGATCTGTCCTTATTTTCTTCTCCTACCGCTGTAGCGTAAATCTATCTATGGCCAATATGCTAATAGACCCAGGCTGCAATGCACTGAGCTGCTCAGGCAGAGAATCAGCAACCCATTGGTGCCTAGTGCCTATGTGTGGCCAAATACACAGGTGACATTCAATAGCCCCTGGGGCATCAATCCTGGCGTGTTGCACTGTGTTGCGATTATGTTGCATAACGAGTTGGTGATTTATGTCACCATCAGCTCCATCTCTGATGTGGTACTGTGAGGTGGAAGTAACAACAGCACTGATAACAACACAATAAGGTTTGTTGACATGTTCTGCTTGTCATGGGCTCATTTGGGGTTCTGCCACCATAAAAAAGCAGTGCTTTCCCTAGAGCAGAACAAAAGGACACACATTTTTATTAACTGGGTGCTTATTACCCTCCTCAACAGTATAATTTGCTACTTAGCAGTCTTTGTTTGGGCCCAGTGTGTGATTGGAGGCTGAATGGGGGCAGCGGATGCCTCCCTAGTTAAGCGGAGGGGGTTAATTAGGAGTCTAATGTTTCAGGGGTGTGGGTGGGAGACCTGGCAGGTGGCGGAGTGGTGCTGTACAGGTCTGATGTGTTGAATGTGAATGGAGTAAGACTGAGGTAGAGGAGCAGAGCAGATGTTCTATGGTAGGGGTGTGCCGAGTAGTCGGACAAAACGAGTATTGTAACGGATATGGGGAATTTTGTGGATACGATTATGATCCGAGTATTTTTAGTAATTATCCGTGATAAAAAATATAAAATCGGGTGCCAACACACATCTTTCTCATGTCAGTCAGTCATGTGCGAGGTTCTACATGGTCTAAATAACTCATCTGGCTGTCTGTAAAGAGAAGGGCGGGCTGTACGTTGAGCCTGCTGCTCTGATTGGATAAAGTGAAACTGTATTTCTCCGTCCACTGTTTTTTGGTCTGATCATTTAGATTGCTGCTGCCTGCTACTATAATAAATCACACGGCAAGGACGTTTGCTATCAAGCTATCAATGTGCATAATATCTACCAAGCGGGGCAAGGGTATGGAAAAAAAGATGAAACTTGGCTGCCCGCTGCAAGTTCAGGCAAACCTCTGTGCGCTGATCCTAATCTGCAGTTTTTTTTCAGTGAGAATGTGCAGGGAGGTATTTTGCCAATATCTACTTAGGCATATTAAAACACTTTTCCAATCACGAGTATCATCTGATCCGACTATCAATTTACGTATAGGATGACCAGTATGGCACATCACTATTCTATGGCTTCTCCTCTGTGAGGGCAGAGTAGAGCTGGTGGGGACTGTGGTCCATATGAGAAGAGGAGAGCTACACTACAGCACCACCCAACCTGATAGGACAGTGAGCAGTTTGCTGTGATGATCTCAAGCGGGGTTGTGTCCCTTGTCGTTTGTTGTGCTCGTGTGTGTGAACGCGCTGGTCTTACCTAGGTTGTGTCGTTTGTTTTTGGCGTGCTCGTGGATGTGTTTCTTGGTGAAGCAGCCAAAGAAGACACAGGACAGGCAGGAGTGGAGCCGGTTCAGGTGGGCACCGCACATGTGACAGACACACGACTTGGCCTGCAGGGGGCGAGAAAGAGAGGGCCTCAGGTTGAGGATCACTGACAGAAACCAAAAGGGTCATCATTACCATCATAAACTCAAAGTCTCAGGTCGGTGAATCAGACCGAGTTTATAGTGAGCAGCCATGTTGGAGCCTAACAGAGAGAAAGGCTGCAACAAAATTGTTGTACTTTACTTTCTTTTCACCAAAGACAAACAGGCTGCACAGAACACCTGGCATCTCTGGGACACAAAGGGATGAAGGGCACATGATGAAACACCATATCCCTTTTGTCATGGAGAGAGACAGGGCAAGAGAAAGCCAGAGTGTCATTTTCAGCTGGCGTGTGGGTGTTTGGTTACACTGTTCTTGCCTCATCTCTGCACCTTTTGCAGGGTGGAGAAGATTGAGAACAGGGTTGCCAGATCAGCAGCTCCCACACACGCCAAACCCCTCCCTTATCCCATTTCATGTACCAAAGACATCATCAGACTGGAGATCACAAGTCCACTACACACAATGTATTCTCAATAAAGAGAACCCATTTGGCATTCTATCAATAATACTGGTAGGTCTACAACCAGGCTTACAACCTGATCTTGAAATAGACCTAGACCTTTTTGGTTTCCTTTTCTTTAGGCTGCCGTTAGGGTAGCCTTACTGTTACAGTCTCTTTGCTGTACCATTTAGCACCGAGCCCATTTTGACATGGCAAGCTGTCCTGCCACCGTGTCCCTAGTGACATGCCACCTGAATGAGCCGAGAGATCAGTGACACATTTTTACACCATGACTATTGCCTCAGACAAAATCAGTTGGTGCAGTGGAAGCACAAATCACACACAGACAGTGTCAGAGGAGAGAGTGCACGCATGAGAAAGAAAACACAGACAAGACAAAATCTCCATAAAACCCTTTAAGCATCAGCCAATTAAAATCGTAGACGTAGTTGTACGTGATCAAAGGCTACATGTTAGCCATTCCCATTCCATAACCTGGCCCATTTAGCCCTATGCCATCCTCACCAGGTGGCCGTGATTATAACCGGTTCAAATTCCATATCAGCCAATTAAAATTGTTGACGTAGTTGGACGTGATAGAACACTTTTCCATGACAGCCTCCTTAACAGCAATTCTATGGCACCGTCTGCTAATCAAAGATACTACAACACGCACCAATTTTCAAATTGGACGATTAAGCTAGCTCACACCTGGCACCTGGTTATTTTAGCCATTTGCGGCAAGTTCAAATCCCAGCTGAGATCATTTTTCCTTTGAAATGTAGAATTACGTGTGTTGAAAAGAAGGGCAGCCAAAACCTTTTAAATGAAGATTATGAATACATTTAAAGAGCCAGTTTATCATGCGATTTACCATTCAAATAAATTATTACCATTATGTTGTTATGTAGTTAGATTGTTTTTACCAAAGTCAAATTGATTGTATGATTGCATAATGGATTCATTAACGCATACATGGCTGTCTCTTGAACTCAAAAGATCTGTTTGGATCAAGTGCCATTCTGTGACTTTGGCTAATACGCCTAAAAATTGGTATCGTGACAACAGTATTCTGCACTGCAGTACAGCTGCTCTCAGCCCCTCGGTCTGTCCCAGACTCACAGCCTGCCCTCGCACACCCCCGTCGTCATACATCCCTCCTACATTGCTCATTCCCCCTCTTTTCTTCCTTTCGATCTATTTCTCTCATCGTTCTCTTCACTTCCTCCATCTGTATTTTACCCAGTATGGATGCATTCTCTATCCTCTCTCCCATTCTCTTTTTTCCACAGTCCACCTTCCTCTTCCTCTCCCGCCATCCCTCCTTCCCTCCTCTGCAGCAGGCAGACCAGGGTAGGGCAGTGTTGTCAGCAGTCTTTCCTGTTGGTGTTGATGTCCTATTAGGAGGTGTATCGATCACAGCCTCGCCCCTGTGACCAGACCATCTGATTAAAAGAGCTGGAGACAGATCAGAACAGGGCCCATCTTAAGGCTAAATTCATCATTAAAACCTTCGTAGGAGCTAGGCTTGAGCGGTATACAGATTTTCATATTGTCATACCGTCCTTCTTTCATACCGGGATTTACGGCATTACCGGTATAGCACAAAAGGGGGCGCTAAAAATGCAAGAAAAGCCCATTGGGCCTCTTACCAGACTGCAGAACTAGCACAAACTAATAGCGAAATCACATAGCTAAATGCTAACGAGTGAAAACTAACCTAAACTAATTGCAAAGACAGGCAAATCCAGCTCATAAAGTTATACAAGCATAGCTAGTAGCTACCAAATGTCATTTTCAGCGAGTGTGGTCATTTACAAGAGAAAGTGAACGAGAAAAATTGTGCAAGTGAACAAAGTTGTGATGCATGCTTTTCTGAAAGAAGAGCAGCACGTGTACACGGAGCAGATGGGAGAAGAACAGAGGAGAAAAAAAACACCATAAGGAAGCACAGGAAAAAAATGGCAGCTGTACAGATAACTCATCCAAAGCTCTTTGACTTCTGGCAGAAAGCCATTATAAGATATATGATGGCAAACATTTAGTAGTGAATTGCATACAAGTTTAAGTTCATCATCTCATGTGCGCCGCACAACAGAGACTCGTCGATAAATATAGAACGCTATGGACTCACCAGCTCGCCTTCTCCCTTTGTGCTATTTACAAACAAGCACGTGACTGGCTCAACTGTTCTGGGGAACTACGGTAAGATCATAATTTTAAATAATGTGACAAGTGAAATGAAGAAGCAATCTGCTTTATCTCCTAAGGTATTACACAAGTTGACTGCAGGTAATAACTTAAAGTAGCTACAAATATTCAAATTTATTGAAAAAATTAGTTGTGACAGTAATGACGTAATTGAAAGAGCATCCTGTGGCTTTTTCCAAATACCCCGCCAAAGCCTAGTTGGAGCATCGTTAAATTGCGTCGTTAGATGCTTTTTTGCCTTTCCGCATCACTTTATACACAGAAGATCTCTGCTAAAACACAAAATCAAGATGTTTATCTGTCTTTCTGTGACCGCTGATAATTTCAGAACGAATGGGACAACAAATACAAAGTTGCCAATTCCTTTGCAATTGTTACGAACAAGCGAAGGATATAAAAGATGCTTCAAATGAAAACCGAGATGACTGTATTAAAATATAAATACAGTATAGGCTTAGACCTATACAGTGGGGAGAACAACTATTTGATACACTGCCGATTTTGCAGGTTTTCCTACTTACAAAGCATGTAGAGGTCTGTAATTTTATCATAGGTACACTTCCACTGTGAGAGACGGAATCTAAAACAAAACTCCAGAAAATCACATTGTATGATTTAAGTAATTAATTTGCATTTTATTGCATGACATAAGTATTTGATACATCAGAATAGCAGAACTTAATATTTGGTACAGAAATCTTTGTTTGCAATTACAGAGATCATACGTTTCCTGTAGGTCTTGACCAGGTTTGCACACACTGCAGCAGGGATTTTGGCCCACTCCTCCATACAGACCTTCTTCAGATCCTTCAGGTTTCGGGGCTGTCGCTGGGCAATACGGACTTTCAGCTCCCTCCAAAGATTTTCTATTGGGTTCAGGTCTGGAGACTCGCTAGGCCACTCCAGGACCTTGAGATGCTTCCTACGGAGCCACTCCTTAGTTGCCCTGGCTGTGTGTTTCGGGTCGTTGTCATGCTGGAAGACCCAGCCACGACCCATCTTCAATGCTCTTACTGAGGGAAGGAGGATGTTGGCCAAGATCTCGCGATACATGGCCCCATCCATTCTCCCCTCAATACGGTGCAGTCGTCCTGTCTCCTTTGCAGAAAAGCATCCCCAAAGAATGATGGTTCCACCTCCATGCTTCACGGTTGGGATGGTGTTCTTGGGGTTGTACTCATCCTTCTTCTTCCTCCAAACACGGCGAGTGGAGTTTAGACCAAAAAGCTCTATTTTTGTCTCATCAGACCACATGACCTTCTCTTATTCCTCCTCTGGATCATCCAGATGGTCATTGGCAAACTTCAGACGGGCCTGGACATGCGCTGGCTTGAGCAGGGGGACCTTGCGCGCGCTGCAGGATTTTAATCCATGACGGCATAGTGTGTTACTAATGGTTTTCTTTGAGACTGTGGTCCCAGCTCTCTTCAGGTCATTGACCAGGTCCAGCCGTGTAGTTCTGGGCTGATCCCTCACCTTCCTCATGATCATTGATGCCCCACGAGGTGAGATCTTGCATGGAGCCCTAGACCGAAGGTGATTGACCGTCATCTTGAACTTCTTCCATTTTCTAATAATTGCGCCAACAGTTGTTGCCTTCTCACCAAGCTGCTTGCCTATTGTCCTGTAGCCCATCCCAGCCTTGTGCAGGTCTACAATTTTATCCCGGATGTCCTTACACAGCTCTCTGGTCTTGACCATTGTGGAGAGGTTGGAGTCTGTTTGATTGAGTGTGTGGACAGGTGTCTTTTATACAGGTAACGAGTTCAAACAGGTGCAGTTAATACAGGTAATGAGTGGAGAACAGGAGGGCTTCTTAAAGAAAAGCTAACAGGTCTGTGAGAGCCGGAATTCTTACTGGTTGGTAGGTGATCAAATACTTATGTCATGCAATAAAATGCAAATGAATTACTTAAAAATCATACAATGTGATTTTCTGGATTTTTGTTTTAGATTCCGTCTCTCACAGTTGAAGTTTACCTATGATTAAAATTACTGACCTCTACATGCTTTGTAAGTAGGAAAACCTGCAAAATCGGCAGTGTATCAAATACTTGTTCTCCCCACTGTATAATATATAAAATCAAAAAAAGACTGCTGCTGGCTCCCAACACACCGATACATTACACACACGCAGGTTTCCGTTAGCCGGCTTTTGCGCCCCACCCCCCAAAAAATAAATTAAAAGCCGATAATATAATAAAATACATTTCACCGTCATGCTTATCGGTCTATAGGTTAATTTGCATAATTTAGTGAAATTAAAATTGCCCAGTGTGTATTTGTCAAAATACATCTTATTCATCCAACACAACTACCACACGCGCACAGCATACAGAGCCTATTTTGAACGGGATTTCTCCTGCAACTCTTCAGCTGGTTGCTCTTGGAGTAAAACACGTGCTTTTATAAGCCCATTCATTGTGCAACAATTCTTAAAGACTTTTGGTGCACGATTAAAAATAGCGACTTTTCATTTTTCAACTGGTAATTGAAGTGCGTCTCCCATTCACCATTCAAGTGCAGGCAACAGGCTATATCAGCGCGTCACCCACCACTTTACAATGTGAGCTGGAGGCAGTATGCATTTTGAAAACATACTTCATTGTTTGAATCCTGAATGTTTTATTTCATATTATGAGGCATGTCTTACCTTGTTTCAAGGTAGCCTATAGGCAAAATCCGAGCATGGAAACGTGGAGGCAATTATTTTATGAAGACTTCATTGGCGGTGCGTGTGAGTTTAAAGTTTGGGGAAGCTTACAATTTATCCTACCATTTCTACTGTTCTGCGTGCGAGTTATGATTTTCATACATGCATTTTTGTTTCATTTCAATAATGTTGTTTTCGTTTCATGTGGTTAATCATAAAAATCTGAATTATATTATTATTACATTGATACACTGATCCATTGCCGGCTAAAGAAATTAGCATGTGGAACTCATAGCCTATAGGCCAATGCAGCAGTGAGACTAACTTCCATTGCGCTTTCACACTGAGGATTGGTGATTATCGAGCGGGAGATTTTTGCCAAGATTTTACAAATAACTTACCCTGAGGAACTATATTTTTTATATATTATAATTCGCAATGGATGTTAAAAACACTCCTACATTTGCGCGCAGCAGGCCAGGTACCTCTATGCGTGCGCGCTCCTTCAACATTATCAGGACAGGGAAACCAGACCTACTTATTGCTCACATGGAGCACTCCGAACAATGATTTTTTTTTTACAGATCTCGTCAATTATGGTTATAAACCAAAACTTGTTTCTCACAAGGGTAGCAGGTTGTGAACTCTGCACACAATGTTTCCACTCCGAGAATGAGAACAGTAAATGGTAGAGCTAGAGCGGTGTTTGTCAGACCATGGAGACATCCCGAAAAATCGGTCTTCTCACGAAAACATCTGTAGCATCCGAACGGTTTGACCTAGAAACTATTACCTCACAGGTCCTCAAATGGCAGCTTCATTAAATAGTACCCGCAAAACACCAGTCTCAACGTCAACAGTGAAGAGGCGACTCTGGGATGCTGACCTTCTAGGCAGAGTTGCAAAGAAAAAGCCATATCTCAGACTGTCCATCTTAATATTTTATTGGCCAGTCTGAGATATGGCTTTTTCTTTGCAACTCTGCCTAGAAGGTCAGCATCCCGGAGTCGCCTCTACACTATTGACGTTGAGACTGGTGTTTTGCGGGTACTATTTAATGAAGCTGCCAGTTGAGGACCTGTGAGGCGTTTGTTTCTCAAACCAGTTTGCGCTGGGAGTAGTACACAGCGTTGTACGAGATCTTCAGTTTCTTGGCAATTTCTCGCATTGAATAGCCTTCATTTCTCAGAACAAGAATAGACTGACGAGTTTCAGAAGAAAGTTCTTTGTTTCTGGCCATTTTGAGCCTGTAATCAAACCCACAATTGCTGATGCTCCAGACACACAACTAGTCTCAAGAAGGCCAGTTTTATTGCTTCTTTAAATCAGCACAACAGTTTTCAGCTGTGCTAACATAATTGCAAAAAGGGGTTTCTAATGATCAATTAGCCTTTTAAAATTATAAACTTGGATTAGCAAACACAACGTGCCATTGGAACACAGGACTGATGGTTGCTGATAATGGGCCTCTGTACGCCTATGTAGATATTCCATTCTTTTTAAAAATCAGCCGTTTCCAGCTACAATAGCCATTTACAATTTTAACAATGTCTACACTGTATTTCTGATCAATTTGATGTTATTTTAATGGACAACAAAATTGCTTTTCATTAGAAAACAAGGACATTTCTAAGTGACCCAAACTTTTGAACGGTAGTGTATGTAATTGGGAATTTATAAAAAAAAATCAAAAGGGCAAACAATTCACACAATGAATGTGCAAGAATTGGATGGAGATAGCTGAGCCATTCTGGAGAGACTCGCCTATATCTACGGCACACACGCCCCTCCCCTTCTTGTCTCAATTTTAAATCATACTCTAGACACATTATCTTCACACATATTTTAAATGCTTTTCACCAACAGCCGCAACTCAATTATCAGCTAGGCCTCTATGCGCTGCCCAAATTGCAGGCTTCCCAAATAGGCATAGACCTACGAGCTTGTGGTTTGAAACAATCCACAGCAATTTTTTAAAAATAAGCTAATGATCCTCGTCTCCTCTGTGGCCATGTCATGCTTTTTGGTGAAGTATTGTGAATTATTTTCTTTCTTTCTGTATAGACAGGAGTAATATAATTTATTTCCATTTACTTCCCTATTGGACCCAACGCTATGCCATTTCTCTCGTGTTCTATTGGTTTTCATATCAACTTTCTTTCGTTGTCCAGAAGCAAAAGGCACAATCCTAGTCATATTAGCAAGCCCAGGGCTTGACAACTTTTTTAGCCACTTGTTCATTTAGACAAGTAGGACTGATTTTTCACTTGTCCAAAAGCTCAAGTCAATTCCACCCCCCACCCCCAAAAAAAGGTATTTCACCATGGGCCAAAAATGTCACTGAAAATTGTACAAGGAACCACTTCACAAAATAACATTAATTATTATCACTGGTATAACCCTCCACAAAGTAAAATACTGCACTGATAGGCTACTGTATAAAACACATGGCCCGTCAACCTTCCATCTGGAGAGTTACTGGGTGTGCAGACCTTTGATCCAACTCTGCTCAAAACACAGCAGTCAGCTTATCAAGGTCCTGTTGAGCAGCTGATGTTTTACAATGTGGCGTTTTCGAGCAGGGCTGGAGCAAAAGCCTGCACACCCAGTAGCTCTCCTGGATGAGGGTTGGCCACTCTGCAACATTACAATTCCAACCGAATACTTATGAAATAATTCCCTCATTCAATGACCCAGGGATCAAATGGCTAAGGTGGGGGAGGTAGCTAACTAAAGATGTTTATCTATTTGTAAAGTTAAAATATTCAGTGTTCAGAGGCGATCTTGACAGCATAGGAGTTACTTGTCAATTAAAATATTTCTGTAACTTGCAATGCATATGGGTACGGTACATTTCTCAAATGGCCGGTAAATAAAAATCTTCCCGGTCATGGAAACCCTGACACACACGCACAAATGATACAAGCACAAACCCATTCATGCTGATGTGTTTTAGTTGACACAATGTGTTCAATGTGGAAGTGAAATTGGACAAGAGTGAGAGAGGTCTAAGAATGTTGATTGGTCTTTTTCAGGGATGACATCAGTGCTTGGCTGGGCCGGAGTGAGAGAAGGGCTCCTCTGTGTTGGCGAGGGGGCATGCTGCAGTGAGGGTGAGGGGGAAAGGGGGCTAGGCAGCAGACATGTAACAGTGGCGACTAAATGAAACAAACATCAAAAGGAGAGGCGAGCAGCAGGCTGATGGAAAGAACCTCTGAACTGACCAACAAGACTCACTGTTCTGCTCGGACTGATAAACTGGCCAACAGAGAGACAGAGAGCGTGACTGTGAAATGCAAGACATGATGGGATAGAAAGCAATGAGCTCAGAAGTGCCAGATAGATCAAATCAAACGCAAATTTGTCACATGCTTCGTAAACAACAGGTGTGGACTAACAGTGAAATGCTTACTTACGGGCCCTTCCCAACAATGCGGAGAGAAAAAACGAGATATAATATAAAAATAACATAAAGAATAAATACGCAATGAGTAACAATAACTTGGCTATATACACGGGGTACTAGTACCTAGTCGATGTGCAGGGGTACGAGGTAATTGAGGTAGATATGTACATATAAGTAGGGCTAAAGTGACTAGGTAACAGGATAGATACTAAAAAAGTAACAGGAGCGTATGTGATGAGTCAAAAGAGTTAGTGCAAACAGGGTCAATGCAGGTAGTTAAATAATGAACCATTAGCCTTCCTCCGACCCCGCCTGGTATAGAGGTCCTGGATTGCAAAGAGCACGGCCCCAGTGATGTACTGGGCCGTACGCAATACCCACTGTAGCACCTTGCGGTCGGAAGCCAAGCAGTTGCCATACCAAGCGGTGGTGCAGCCAGTCAAGATGCTCTCAATGGTGCAGCTGTGGAACTTTGAGAATCTGAGGGCCCATGCCGAATCTTTTCAGCCTCCTGAGGAGGAAGAGGCATTGTCATGCCCTCTTCACGACTGTGTTGGTGTGTGTGGACCATGATAATTCCTTAGTGATGTGGACACGAGGAACTTGAAGCTGTCAACCTGCTCCACTACAACCCTTTGTTTCCTGTAGTCCACTATCAACTCCTTTGTCCTACTGACGTTGAGGGAGGTTGTTGTCCTGGCACCACACTGCCAGGTCTCTGACCTCCTCACTGTAGGCTGTCTCATTGTTGTTGATCAGGCTTTCCACCTTCGTGTCGCAGGCAAACTTAATGCTGGTGTTGGAATCGTACGCGGCCACGCAGTCATGGGTGAACAGGGAGTACAATCTTGGTCCTGTATTGACGCTATGCCTGTTTGATGGTTTGTCGGAGGGCGTAGCAGGATTTCTTATAAGCGTCCAGATTAGTGTCCAGCTCTAGCCTTTAGCTCAGTGCGGATGTTGCCTGTAATCCATGGCTTCTGGTTGGGAAATGTACGTACAGTCCTGAAGTTAACAAAAATAGAATCCTTAGGCTATCTCTCAGAGCTTTTATATCAAATGACAGACGCCAGCCTGTATGAATACTCATTACATAAATGTATATTCCAGTCAGAACGCTGCCACATGTTCAAAGGGATACTGCGATATTTTGAGATTTAGGACGTTTACTTACCCAGAGTCAGAGAAACTCATGGATACCGTTTTTATGTCTCTGCATGCAGTTTGGAGATTGAAGTTAGCATATCGTGAGCTTAGCACAATTGCTGAATGTCTCCCAGTACAGTAGCCAGCTCCTCTCAAAAGCAGGGAAATAAATGTATAGTCTTAAAAAGCTATACAAAGTAATCAATATTTTATAAATTCATAAAAATTTCTGGTAATCATAAGAAACAAGATCTATCCACTTCCTCATTATGTGTCCATGAATTATGAAGATGCAAAAATATGCAACTGTGTGTGTGAGGCTGTGTGTGCAAGCCACTCCTCCTACCATTGCATTAGCACACACTCACTAAAACCCAGCAGGGACTGGGCATGTGGTCAATGACCTGCAGTCTCCAGGACTAGTCTCTCTCAAGAGGTAACAAAGTAGAAAATAACCTCAAGCCCCTCATCTCAACCAGCAGGCTGGAGATCATATGTATTCTGAACACACTCGCTGTAGCCTATATATGAGTATGAAGAATGGCTGCTGGTTATAATGTGCATGAATTATTGATGTACTGCTGCTATATAGCCTGTTAAGCGCTACGCTTTCCTCAACAATCAGATCACTCAAAGACCCATCTGCCAGAGGATTTCATGCTAGTGAAATTCACAAAGTTAATTGGGCAGAGTGGCTGGTCCAAGGTGGTGAGGGGACATCACATGGTGTGTTTAAAACAACTGCTTCTTCTTCAAATGGAGCCTGTGTGGGGTTTAGGAGGTGGCACAGTATCAAAAGAGAAACAGACTAGGTTGAGGCACGGAACAGGTTTGAAAGAGAGTGATACGGGGAGATAATACCTGCATTTTCCCGATTAGAAACGCTCCGTTTTATTTTCTGTTTCAAAACGTCTTGCTACGGTGTGCTGTACAGTACACAACAACCTGGATGGTTGCAAACGTAATGTCACCTCATCTCTTTGGGTCTGTTCATCTCAGGGCAGAAACGAGGTGTTCATAAAGCAGACCGATGAGCAATTCAACAGCTCATTAGGAGGTCCTCCCCAGATGGTTTATCTGTTAGTCCTCCTCCTCCTCATCCCTCCATCCCACCGTTGCCATCCCTGCATCATTCACTCCATTTATCCTAATTGAGGTAACCATGGAGCAGGGGCAACTGCGTGGGGGGAATGGGGAAGTGAAAAATAAGTGAGAGTAGGAAAGGACAGCTTAAAGAGAAAGAAAAAGGGCGAGAAAGAATAAATTATAAATCTCTGTGTAGTCGCCGGTCCACGCCCCCCAGACCGTCGCGCCAGCCCTGATTAAATACAAGCCTGGTCTGTGACAGCTCTGAACACAGGTGTCACCTTCCCTCCCCATAACTCACCACTATCCAGTGCACAGATACCAATCCATGCATTAAATCTAAGATTGCCCGGCATAACGCAGGATGACAGCACTTCAACGTCTTATATGATGGGGTGGCATGGAGCCAAACAAATATAGAGGCTCCAGCAGAAATGGACAGTTGGTGGGGGGGATTTTATGAATTGTCTGTTTTCATGCAGCCCCTTTTCAAGAGCCATCGCAGATTTTTATGTAGCATTACTGATACAAACCAGCAGTGTTATGAAGACTCAGTCAGTCAGAAGGACAGTACTGTTCATAATGTTTTTAGATAGTGAGATGGTTACCATTTACGTTACCAACACTGGCTACACTGTGTGTGTGTGTGTGTGTGTTGCTGTTAAGCAAGCTGAGGGTCCCCGAGATGAAACAGTTACATTTCTTCAATGTTGAAACCATTAAGAAGGAAGCTACACTGTACACTGAAACTGTCACTGCAGCCTCTCAGTGTAATTTGACAGATGAACTCAGACAAAACGCAACGGTGGGATGAATGGGATTAAGTTGGCCTAACCTTTGAAAAGATATGTGAATGGAGATGTCGATGCCCACCCACACTCAATTCAATGACATTCTAGACGATTCTGTGCTTCCAACTTTGTGGCAACAGTTTAGGGAAGGCCCTTTCCTGTTTCAGCATGACAATGCCTCTGTGCACAAAGCGAGGTTCATACAGAAATGGTTTGTTGAGATTGGTGAGGAAGAACTTCACTGGCCTGCACAGAGCCCTGATCTCAACCCCATCGAACACTTTTGGGATGAATTGGAACGCCGACTGCGAGCCAGGCCTAATTGCCCAACATCAGTGCCAGACCTCACTAATGCTCGTGGCTGAATGGAAGCAAGTCCCCGCAGCAATGTTCCAACATCTAGTGGAAAGCCTTCGCATAAGAGTGGAGGCTGTTATAGTAACAAAGGGGGGACCAACTCCATATTAATGCCCATGATTTTGGAATGAGATGTTCAACGAGCACTTTTGGTCATGTAGTGTATGACGCATTGTGTGGACACAGACACAGTACTGCATGAGAATTCTAATGCACACTAGCTGAATATGCTTTGAGATTAGGTTCTCCCAAAGCTGTCTGAAAGTGTAATGTTGACATCTCTTCTACAGTGCGTTAATACGCACTGCCTGTATCCAATGGGAGCATGGGTTACATTAACATGCCATGGAGATACATGCATGTAATGTTGATTTTACAACAGCTAGTTAGTAATATCCCCAGATCATACTCGGGTCACAATGAACATAAGATTATCAGTCGTATGTTGTGTCTGTCTGTACCGTTGCGGTACTGATGCACCAAGTGCGGAACCAACAGGACCCTACCCTCAAGCCATAAGACTGCTAAATAATTAACCAAATAGCTACCGGAGTATCTACATTGACCCCCTTTTGCACTAACTCTTTTGACTCATCACATTCGCTGCTGCTACTGCTTATTATCTATCCTATTGCCTAGTCACTTTACCCCTACCTATATGTACATATCTACCCCAATGAATTCATACCCCTCCACATTGACTCGGTACCCCGTGTACACTGCGTGTACAAAACATTGCTTACACCTGCTCTTTCCATGACAGACTGACTAGGTGAATCCAGGTGAAAGCTATGATCCCTTATTGATGTCACTTGTTAAATCCACTTAAAATCAGTGTAGATGAAGGGGAGGAGACAGGTTAATGAAGGATGTTTAAGCCTTGAGACATGGATTGTGTACATGTGCCATTCAGATGGTGAATGGGGAAGACAAAATATTTAAGTGCCTTTGAACAGGGTATGGTAGTAGTTGCCTGGCGTGCAGGGCGTGCTGGTTTGTGTGTGAACTGCAAAGCTGCTGGGTTTTTCACGCTCAACAGTTTCCCGTGTGTATCAAGAATGGTCCAACACCCAAAGGACATCCAGCCGACTTGACACAACTGTGGGAAGCATTGGAGTCAACATGGGCCAGCATCCCTGTGGAACGCTTTCAAACCTTGTATAGTCCATGCCCCGACGAATTGAGGCTGTTCTAAAGGCAAAATGGGGTGCAACTCATTATTAGAAAGGTGTTCCTAATGTTTTGTAAACTCAGTGTAAATATCGAAGTTACTGTTACTCATTATGAATTTATTCCTCGTGTTATTTTTCAATGTTTCTCTGCATTGTCTGAAAAGGGCAGTAAGTAAGCATTTCATTGTTAGTCTACATTTTTTTACGAAACGTGACAAATACAATGTCATTTGATGAGCGCTGATTGCGTATCATAAAAGTAGATATATCAGAGGAAATGCACATTTGGATGAGACAACCAAAGTACTGTGTTCATGTTCTTCAGGAAGCATGGCATGATTTACATATTTTCAAAGTAACCAGAAGAGACTTTCCAGAGAGACTAGAGATGTAGCTAGCTGGGAATGCAATGACGTAAAAAAAACTGGGACTGCTTAAACAGGCGCGCGCACACATAGCAGGCCAGGCAGGGTTGATTTTGTGATGCAAGAGATGTAGGGGGTTTAGGTAGTGAGCTGAGCTCGCTAACAGTATCTCACACACCCCTCAGTCAGTGTCAATTCTATCTAAAACTGCACCAGTCCGCGTTAGCAAATGTACAAGTGCCCAAGCCGATAGAAACAGCCATTCCTGAAAATGTAAAACGTTACCTAGCTAACGTTCGACAAGTTCTATCCGTGCGTGGGAAACTGTAGCAAATATCACTAGTTAATCGACAAAACAGGGTCTGTCACACACTGTTTGAGTTGCCTCTTCGTGTGTGGCTTGGTAACAATGACTATGTACGACAGTTAGCCAGCGAGACGTCGTAGGCACTGTTCTCTCGAGAAGCGGTCCGCATACATGTTCTGAACTAGTTAGTAGTAGCTAACTAACGTTTAAATATTTACCTTGCGTTTCCTGGTTTCGGCAGACCCACTCCACACAAAGCATTGGTAAATGACCCGTAGATTCTGTTTCCAGTTATCCACTTTGAACCCGTTCACATGGGGGCACCCGGCTGGACTCATGACAGTAACAACATTCGTTTTGCGTATTTTTAGCAATGAAACGTGCTCCGTCCTTGTCCTGACGTTAAATAATTAGCTATCTAGTTACGTTTAACGTTAGTTAGCAAGCTATCCACCGATTGTTCCGATTTGGCTAGTTTGAGAGGTAGCCACAGCTAAATCGGAGGTAAATGCAGTACACATCAATGCAATCCTTGAGTAATCCCATTCCAGATTTTTGACATTTTTCTGCAATTAAATCCACATTTGGGTCGTATTTGTCGTTGTCCACACTTCAGTAGCTATAGCTTTAGTTCCAATTATTTTAGCTAGCTAATGTTCGGCAAAGGAATTTCAACAGAACACCGCGAGCGTTGCTACAAGCCCCACCTCATTCATATCTCGATCTGCCAATGGAAAGGGGTGCCTGGTTTTGATTGGCGTGTGTGGGTATCGTTTCCGTATTATGTCCCGCCCCTATGCGGAAACTGATATTGTGATTGGCTCCATTATTTATTACAAGCCATATCCGCTCGTCAAACGACTCCCATTGGCTACATGAACCTTCATGCTTCCTCTCCGGTAGTCCTCTTTCCTTGGGGGACACACTGTTTTCACGTCATTTCGCCCAGTGGGCGGTGCTATACATCAAGGTGGGCGGTGCTATACATCAAGGTGGGCGTACATTTCTGCACGCATATGTGTAACAGTGTTGCTTCCGTCCCTCTCCTCGCCCCTACCTGGGCTTGAACCAGGGACCCTCTGCACACATCGACAACAGTCACCCTCGAAGCACCGTTACCCGTCGCTCCTCAAAATCCGCGGCAACTACTTCAAGGTCTCAGAGCGAGTGACGTCACCGATTGAAACGCTACTAGTGCGCACCGCTAACTAGCTAGCCATTTCACACCGGTTACATATGGATGCACACAGGGCGAGAACTGAGCCAAGAGCTTGCTTAAATCCGGATCTTGGAGTCTATTTTCAACCCACTGCCTAACTACAGTATGGATGTTATTGTTTTATCAGGGAGTAACAAAGAATGTAATGTCATAAATGACGTAAATGTAATTGTTGAATTCACATTATGTTTGCTATT